GGTCGGGGCTCTAAGAATGATACACTAGGCCCACTTCGCCTAGCGTCCTGCATGAAACTTGACGGACCAGCTTCTCCATAAATTCTGCTACTGTAGTGAGGAGTAAACGGTTCCGTTGGGGTAAAAGTCACACCAGTTGACGGATTGGAACGGGATGGACCGGGGCCCCCACTGGTTCTGCTCCTGTAATGGGGAATCGACGGGTCTGTCGGGGCGGAGGACAAAGTTGTCATATGCATGCTTTGGGTCGCTGAATGTAGGCCCGATCCATTCGGTCTGACTCGAATAGATTCCGGAAAATAACAAGCCGGAATGCTGGCTGGTGGTGTAGTTGCTGGTATGAGAGGCGTGTAAGGAATAACCTGCGAGATGACCGTTGAGTATGGCTCCCCGGTTGGTGTTGGTGACAGACCCAGCGTAAGAGAGACTGGATCCGTCGATGTTGCAGGTGGATCCGTCGCTGCGGGGGAGAAACTGAGATCTAGCCTTGTTGCAGCAGTCATTATGTCACTCCTCCAATTGAGTCTTGATTTTGAGGCTATTGACACCGCAGATTGTACCTGGGACCGAAGTACATCGTTCTCCCGTTGAAGATGGGCCATTTTCTCCGCCACCTCACGCCGGAATTCCTCTCGGATCGTCTCTAGCTGCTCATGGAATTCAATCAACAATTGATTTGTTCCTGCCATATCTAAACTCTTTCTTGCACGATGCCCCACGGTGGGCGCCAAATTGTTTAAGCAAAATATTGATAAGCTAAAACTAATTAAAAAGGAATTCGTATAAAGAAAGGGCTTCGAACAAGAATAGAGAAGGAGATGACAAGAGAGTGAACAAGAAGGAAAACTTGAGTATTATTCGAATGTCTCTGCCCCTTGATTACAATGATGCTATTCTATTTATAAGAAAAGCAATTAAAGCTCTAATGATGGTTTTTTCCGTTATTGACGGATTGGCCATCCGTTACGTACCGACGGATTCAAATCCGTCATAAAAGCTGGTCAAACACATTTAATACCCTCCTTAATCACATTAAGGAGCCTAATAATGTACAAAAAACGTTACAATATTTAAAAATGATATTCTTGACGTTTCAATGACTCCATTTGTCTGTTTTGGCGGTTTGACGTAACGGTTCCGACCCGTCGTCGGTTTCGCAACTCGTCATCAATGCTGGCCAGCTCAAAATAAGTAACCTCCAGCCTTAATATCGTTGATAACTCCAGCAATAAACACAAATCCGTTACAACAGCCATCATTAAGCCTCTTTAACTTTTGTGATCAACTCTCTTTAATGCGACATATATTGCCAAATAATTGCACCAACAAGTATCAAATCTACAAACATATGCAATTTTTTTAATATTTATTATGTATATCATTAGAGCTAAAATATAGTTTACATGTAATGTATTATGAAATTAGTTACTACAATAAAAGATGGAATTAAAATATATAATACCTTGATACTGCATCAAGCGACGCTGTCTATGAAGAATGTCATCCGAAAAGAATGTCCAACATTTGTCCCATATATGTTCCGGACGGGATGCACAATTTGATGTCAAAACCGTAACAAATAGGTATCTGAGCAAATGAGCAGATACGGTGTAACTCGACTCATCAATTGCATCAATATACTCCCTATCATCATCCAGTAAACCTCGAGCGTAACACGCATCTCGATAGGTCAAGTATTGTGTGCCATCCAATATTTTCAGATCTTCATGACATGTTGCTCCATGAACTACATTCATAAGGCATCGCATGTAGTATATCTCTCCACTGCCAGGTGGGACATAATTTATTCTACCAATGGAAAATCCTTTTTTCCTTTCCTTCCACTCCTTAGTTTTTGGGTGCCATACAAACCTTTGTGGAAACTCAACATAAGTCAAAGTCTTTGCTTCAGGATATTTTTGGTTCGCTTTAAACCAAGCCAAAAACATGCTCTCTTTCACTGTTTCTCGATCAACCACCTTTGATAGCGAGGAATCGTCTGAAAAATATACATTCTGCTCACCGGGTAAATGCAAACTTAACCTCTCAACAGGAGGATTTCTATATTGAATCTCAAAACCAAGAATTCTCCATGCTGCCTCACAGGGGGACACATATCTACAATCGTAGTACATTTTTATTTCATCCACGGGTTGAGTGGATTCATCGGCGCTTGGACTTTGATAAAATGTAGCAGTGACACGATCATTCCCCTTGTTGACATATTTAAATAAGTACTTTATAGAGCGTGACTGGTTGCACCATTCAACGTTCATATGAGCACCGTATTTAAGCAACAAATAACGATTATGCGGCACAACGAATTGATTGGTCAACTCAACTTCTCCTTTTTTAATTGTTCTTCCATCATCTCTACGTCTATAGATGGGATAACCTTCATCATCAACGGTAGTTTCCTGATTGAACTTCTTGGGAAAGTGTTTAGTGCAACGGCCATTTGACATACACGGTGAGTTTTTTTTTAGAAGGCCCACACGGTCCATGCATCATTAGATCCGCTACTGCACTATAATAAACAGGGTCCTCGTTTTTGTCAGGAATTTCAGCTGAAATGATACGATCAATATCATTTGCAATTGGAAATTGACGGTCTTTGGCTAAGAAGAGTAATATGTGAGCATGTGGAAGTCCTCTCTTTTGAAACTCTATGGTGTATATAACTACAAAGAAATGTATTCATGTCATTACTCATATGATATCTTAGTGTAATTCTAATAGTAACATTTATTAAAAGAGCAAGTGACATAATAAATGAAGAAGGTATATATTACCTGCTTTAGCACGCCCAAAAATTTTATTCTCTCGGAGGTCTTTGATTAATCCATCCAACTTGACTTTGAAAACTCGACAAATAATATCGGCGCGATCTTCTGGATTTAGATTCCGTTTCTCAAGAAAGCGAGTGACCTCTGACCATTTGGGGTTGCACGTAAACGTTATAAATAAGTCAGGATATCCAGCCCAACGACATATCGCCATGGCATCTTGGTAATTCTGGATCATATACCGAGGTCCACCAGTAAATGAAGAAGGTAATATAACACGTTTTCCTTGGGTACGTGAGTCTGTCTCACCTCGCAGCAGTGCATCAGATAGACCTTTGTACAACTCACATCATAGTTCTTGTTGATGCGTTTTAATATACTTTAACCTGCCGGCTTCCACCATTGTGTACGCATCAACAACAAACTGTTGGAATAGTCTTTTTGAGAACAATATGTTAGGTAATTCTTGATCTCGTTCATGCAAACGAAATGCAAAATACTCCCTAACACTGACAAAACGTCTTCCATCTGTTGTTGAATCCTTCGAAATAGCAAATGGAATGTCTTCTCGATATCCGTCTTCTCCATAAGGAAACAAAAGAGGATATTGTAAAGGAAGATATCCTGGATGAAGTTCATTGATGCGTTGCAAAGATCCAGAATGAGGTTGTAGCACAATATCCCTCCCGTCTAATGTTTCATCAAAGTCATCAACAATTAACGCAGCCACCTCAGATGTTGAAGGAAGGTTATACGTTCTAGCATCAAACCCCCGTTTGCCAATGAGTTTCAAACGAATGTTTAGCTCCCCCTGGTTAACTTTCTGACCAACCATTCTAAAGGATTTCACAAACACATTATTCTCATCCAACATTTGCTTCAAACCACTAACAATGTCGGTGTGTAGGGAGTCAATATCATCTTCATTCCTATTAAATAAGTACATCATATTATATATCTTAAATCTTAAGCGCATTCATTCATAGAAATATGTAGAAAAAGTATTATATGCTTAAAAAAATAATTGGTAAAACACTAACCTCACAGATTTGATACGATTCACCACCTCATTTGCAGTATCGTAAATGTACATTTGTGCAAATTTAGGCACCCCATTCTCCTCGGGCATTAAACTTCCAATCAAATGGTAATTTTGACCATGAAGTTTGAAAATCGGCGGAGAATTACCAGCGTTGTGACTAACATCAATCTTTGCACCTCATCTTCATTCACTGGTGTCTGACCGGGTGATGACCTGCTATTCCAAGTTATTTTCTTATCTTTGCAAACCATTAATTATACCATGAATCTCACCTTTCACAAAGATAATATTTTGCAAAGATAAGAAAATAACTTGGAATAGCAGGTCATTAACTGGTCAGGGACCAGCGAATGAAGATGAGGTGCAAAGGTTGGTTTATCTTGAATAACGAAAAGGTGGAAATATTGTAAGAAGAGTGCTAAAAAGTTAGATTATTAGTTTCCATTTTCTCTTTTTAAATTGGACATTTATAATTTGTACGTAATATTTTGTAGTAATAGGTAGTCTCTATGAAACTTTTATTTGATCTATTTCAATCATAGACCAGATCCCAGATTAGGACAGATCATATCAGACTAGATCAAATTTAAACAGACTACACCAGACTTCAACATTTATAAAATACACATAAACCGGACATTTAACAGACCACACACGACTTAAATAGATTAGGCGAGACGAGACTAGACCAAATTTATATAGATCAGACCAGACTTTAATCCAATTAAAATCATTCTTTGTTGGAAACTTAACTCATTAAGTTTGAAATAGAACTCAAACTTATACCGTTCCAAAGTTTGACGCTTTAATTTGAAGGGTAAACCCCTTCCAAGCGCACCTTTAAGGCTTTAACGGATTGTTAATCTGAAAACATACAAAAGCTAATTGATTAGTGGAATGATCTTTATTTGTTTCTTTTTGGATAAATTTATGTTAAACTAAAATTTAACCGTGAGTGGAAACAACATGCCCCTCTTAAATCAAATGATGAAGATGCAATGTACTCTCAATTTTCACATTAATCTCATTTTTAGTGTTTATTAGTATCTCTCATTTTGATTTTTTACTTTCTTTTTCGTGTTGTCGAATGTTTCATTTTCTTCTAAGGAGATATATGTAATATTTATCATTTCATTCACTTTATTCTACTGGAGAATACTTTTTAGCTTCAAATAAATTACTCCGTATTTTTTACTGATAAAATATACTCCGGTATTCTTCTTAATTTCATCGCCGATTATAGAACGTAACGGGCTCTGAACATTTGTATTCGATCGATTATACAATTTTCCTTCCATGCGAATTCCCAGTTGACTGATCAAATTGGACTAAAAGTGGAAGAGAGATCAAATTGGGCTGCAAATGATGGAACAATCCGAAAATGAGATACTGGATAATTAGATCTAACGAGAAATCGAATTTTAATTGAACTTGCAAATGGTTTAGCTTTCAGTTTTCCTGACTAAAATCTGCTTCTCAATTAGATCGATCAAAGCAATTATCTTCACCGATCGGACCAGAACAAACAAAAATCTACGAACTGCTTCGTGGATTCATCATTTCATGGAAATTTTCATTTATGATACACCAAATTACCCATTATTGTTCACAGCATAACTACTGATTGCAGAAATAGTCAATTCACTCAATTGATTGCTCTTCAAGAAGGATGAACCTTTTTGGAACGGGAAGAAACCGCCTTGACGGCGGATCTCATGGAAGAGGTAGCAGAATTGACGGCAGCTTCGATATACTTCTTCGCAGCGACGGTGGCCGCCCTCTCCACGGCCTTCCCGACGCCCCACGCCTTGTCGGCGACGCCGGCCAGACTATCGTGCTCCGCCTGAGCCATCCGATCCATCTCCTCCTCGAACCGCCGGAACTCCTCCATGGCGCTGTCCATGACAGAGTTGACATGGTCCTCTGCTTCCTTCATGTGAGTCTCTGCTTCTTCGACCTGTTTCTCCTGATCAAGCTCCATGGCCGCCCAGGCCTTGTAGGCCTCGAGCTCGAAGAGCTTCATGACGTCATCAATGGCTTGGGGATCAAAGTTCTTATCGCAGAGGGCTTGGTCGGAGAGGATCGTGAACTGAGAAATCAGAGCTTCCATCTTTTGGTTTTTCTTTTTTGAGGAGAGGGGGCAGATAAAAATGCTTTGGGGCCTGTGGGGAATTGGCTAGGTGGTGGGATAATTCATTAATTTGTACTATTCATATTAGTGAAGACATTAAACGGTCGGTGGACCTAGCCCCCCTATAATGAAGATTCCATTTCAATTCAGAGGCATATATTGAGTACATATTATCTCCATATTTAGTTCAATTGGTGAAGTGATAAGAAAATTGAAGAAATGATCGGGATGACATTCCATCCCTGAGGGCCCCAACACCGATCGGATGGTACGATGGGAGGATGTAAATTGGACTATAATCACAATCTGACAGATAGAGAGTGAGGCTCTTTTCCCGGTACTTGCAGAAGCCCTATGCATTTTTCAGCATAGTAACCCCTCATCGCAGTTGTCGTGATTTGAACCCGAGACCTAACCCTTATGGCACTCCCTCGCTACGAGTTGAGCTACGCCCACCGGTTTAAATGATCGAGTATCAATTCCTACAATAGGTCGTGTGGAGTTCAGTGGATTGAACTTCTGGTATGCACAACTGCACAAGTGATATCATCCATTGTTAAACTGACTGAATTACCGTAATTTACAACCTTTCATGTGTCATATCGGGTGGGGGCATGGAGCCCTTGGGGATGGGGATTCTAACATTTTTGGAGGAATATACGGAGTGCACATATAGTGCAAAGTGTATTTGTTGATAAATATGATAGGTGTGCATGCACCTTTTTGAGTTTTTGTGAACCACACCATTCACTATGTCTACACAAATACCTTTTGTATTTTCGGACAAATTGTTTATATAGAGACATCTATGTTAGCGTAAACAGAAAGATGAACAAATGGTGTCCACATAACATGTACACCATTTGTTGGTTGATTTTTCTAGGTCGTCCACTCGTCCTTGTGTAGTAGTTCTATCTATTGTTGTAGTGAACTTTTTTTGTATTTTTTTAGTGTTAATTTGAGTTTATACCTCATATTATTGTCTAAATTGAACTTTGCACTCTGTTTTTTAAAATCTTTGTTTTTGCACCCCAATCCTATATGAAAAAGACAAAAATGCCCTCAATTAGGAATATGTTGAAGGCCAACAAAATTGTTAATGGAGGGCATTTTTGTCTTTTCATATGGCCATATGGGATTGAGGTGCAAAAAAAAAGATTTTTAAAAACGATATGCAAAGTCCAATTTAGACAATAATATGAGGTGCAAACTCAAAATACTCCTTTTTTTTTATTTCCTTGAATGAACATTTTCTTATATGTACGTTTATTTTCACTGTTGTGTCTATTTGCTGTCAAAACTCAAAAGTTTAGAAGCTTGCTTCATTGCTAATTTCATGTTGTTTTACCGATTTATTACTCTCAAGTCTCAAGTTATAGAGGACGTGCTCAAGTAGTTGTGCCAATGGATTTGATTTATAAAAATAAACGACTACTAATGAAGTACAAAATCAATGATCATGAAGCACTCCTGTCACTTTTAATGGATAAAAACAAAGTTTAAAAAAAAATAATGTGACGAATGTTACTCCTAGTGCATTTTACTGAACATGATATTGATCATTAAAATTCACTAATTTAAATTACGTACTCGTTTGTACACCATGCTTACTACATACTTACAGTCATACTCGATCGTTTGTACACCATGCTTATTTTAATCATATATTAATAATTATTCTTCTACTTTTAATATGGGAACCCCATCTCTATCATAACTAATGCAAATCTTAAACTATTCTCTCACCTATAGAATAAGCTAGGTTTCAAGACGATGTGTTATTCGGTGCATTCAGTTCGGGGGAAGACAATGTGTTAAATAAAAGCACTTTTTGAGAAAAAATGATTAGTAGTAAAAGTGGATAGTATTTGATAAAATAAGTGTTTTTTTGCGTAATAGAAAAAGTAAAAAGTAGATTCTACACGAAAACCGTGAAAGTAAAAGTTGGTAGTATTTGGTAAAATAAGTGTTTTTTCTTAAAAAAAAAAGCCACAAGCACTTAAATTAAGGGCTTGCTAACAGAACCTTAAAGGCCATTAAGATTGTTAAGATATGGGATTTGATCAACCTAATATGAGGAGTAACTCAAATCTTAATATAGTGTTTAATCGTTTCAAAAATATCGGACGTGAGACTTTAACAAAGACCAAATCCAATTCCAAAACCGAACAATAGAGTTAATAAGGTCCTCACTCCTCACTCCTCAGCAGCATCTTCGCAATCTTCTTCCGCTTCGCGGTGTAAAGGATTTGTAATAGAAGGATGACTATCTTCTTTGTCAATATGGGCTGGGGAGCTCTGCAGAACACATCGACAAACAAGACAGGTGTTGTGGATTCGAAGCCAGGGGAGAATGCAGAGAGAATGGTAGAAATGCTTGCAAGGCAACTCCCTCACTTCATCACCAACCTCAAACTCGTCCTTGCAGATGGTGCAGGTCGAGTCGCTGGTCAAATGAGCTGGAGTGATCATCACTCTCTGTAGAGTGTAGAGATTCAATGGTTGAAGATGTCGCCTGGGGCGGCCCAAACCTTTCATCTTCATGAGAAAAGAGGCAAATAAGGCCATGTATTAAACAAAAAAAATGTCAAATAAGGCCTTATTTAAGAGGATCTGTCCGGCCATCGACATTTGGGGTAGTTCCCGGTGGAATTTTTTGATAAAATCTTTTGATCATCTTATTCAGTAAGTCTAGTTTACTCATACCAAATTTCAGCTAAAACTTCAATAGGAAGACACTCAAATGAATTTTTGAAGATAATTGCGCAGTTAAAAGCACAGTTATCTTCAACAATTCATTTGAATGTCTTCTCGATTGAATTGTTAGCTGAAATTTGGTATGAGTAAACTAGACTTAATGAATAAGATGGTAAAAAAAATTCATCAAACAATTCCACCGAGAATCACCCCAAATGACGAAGGCCGGACAGAGCCTCATAAATAAGGCCTTATTTGAGCTTTTTTTGTTAGTACATGACCTTATTTGTCCATTTTCCCCATCTTCATCAGGAGCGGTAGACTCTTGGAAAGATACAAGCCCAAAATATTAAAACTTGAAGGGAAAAGGAGAAAATAAGCCCTCGAACTAACCAAAAAAGTGCAAATAAGCTCTTATATAAGAGGTTATGTCCGGCCGTCGCCATTTGGAAATGTTCTATGTGGAATTTTTTGATGAAAATTTTTGAGCATCCTTTTCATTAAGTCTAGTTTAGTCATACCAAATTTCAGATAAAAATTCAATCGGGAAGGTAGTCAAATGAATTTTTGAAGAAAACTGCGCAGTTAAACAGCGCAGTATATTTCAGAAAATTATTTGTCTGCCTTCTCGGTTGAACTTTTAGCTGAAATTTGGTAGGACTAAACTAGTCTTGATGAAGAAGATACTTCAAAAAATTCATCAAAAAATTCCCCCGAAAACTTCCCCAAATGACGACGGCCGGACAGAGTCTCCTATATAAAGGCTTATTTACACTTTTTTGTTTAGTTCGAGGGCTTACTTGTCATTTTCCCCAAACTTGAATTGGGAAATTGAAATTCAATAAATATCAATACATTGTATTTAAAATTGCTCAAGATAAGATCAAAACGTTAAACAAAGTGCAAGAATGGAGCTAAAATGTTTTCATTCAAGTTATTAATCTTTGAACTTTACTACGGGCAGATATGGTCCATATAACTAATCAATCTGTACAATTTAAAAACTTTACCACTACAAATACACTTTCCGGCACAAATTTCGACACCAGCGACGTATTTTGTGGTATATGTTAAGTCAGAAAGTGTACTTTCCCGTGGAAAAATCTTAAAATGTAAAGATTTATTATTTACAGGATCAAATATGCAAGCGGTTAAAATTAAAAAATGGCTAATAATATATGGACACAATTTAAAGTTAAGAGACTGATATTCGTTCAAAAAAAGTTAAGAGACTAATATTGCAGGTATCCCTATTTACCATGTACTCCGGGGTATAAGTTAATTACGTCAATTACTACAAGCTGCATAGAGGCCCTTTTCTCCATTGTAATCAACATACCCGAATGTAGTAAAATCATTTTCCTCATTTTGAGCTGCAAGAGAGAATCCATGTATTCATAAGCCTTTCTAAAGATATGTATGCATCACAAGTGAGTTGTGTTCAACAAACTTATCACTTAGTCGAGTTCACATTTACGACCTACAAATTCAAAAATTATACTTCTCACAAAAACTTACCAGATAGTATTATAGGAAGTGGGTTTCTACACTTCTACATCGGTACATGACCTTCTCACAATTAATCCATACATATCCGATGTCCACCGCATCTCCACCCTTTTTCAGTTTTAAAATGAATCCGTATGTCTTTTCAGTTGTTTCCCGCCAAACATGATAAAACCAAATAATGTTAACGGGATAGAACCGGCCGGATGGGATCCCAAATTTGAGGAGCTTGGGTCTGGAATTTTCTGAACCGATCCCAATCCCGATTTCTATTTGATCCTATTTTGGGTTTGAGATTGGGATCGTGTCGAAGACCCCTAGTCACTTCACCTCACCTCATTCAGTTTTAAAATGAGCAAGTGGTCTTTTTAATTGTTTCCCACCAAACGTACATAATAAAGTAAAATAATGTAATTGAGATAGAACCGTGCGATTCCAATCCCTAATTTGAGAAGCTTGGGACTTTACACCCTCTCTTAATATAGTTTGGGCCTTGAATCATCTAGACCGATCCCAATCCCGGTCCCAATCTCTGTTTTATCCTATTTTGGGATTAAGACCGTGTCGACCCCTAGTCACTCCATCTTCACCCTTTTTGAATTTTAAAATGAATATGCATGTCTTTTTAGTTGTTTCCCCCAAACATAATGAAATAAAAGTATGTGATCGGGTAGAGCCGGCCGGTTCCAAACCCTAATTTGAGAAGCTTGGGACTCTAAACCCTATGTAGTCACATTTGGGCCCAGAACCATCTAAACAGATCCAGATTATGTGTTCGATCCTATCTTGGGACTCAGATCTGTGTCTACTCTTGTTCACTTGATGTGTCACTCTTTAGTGTATTTGGCATTTTCAATAGGGTCAAATAAATCAGGTCTTGAATCGGTTCTTTTCTTAGGCAAAATACTTGGAACCATTGAAAAAAAATCAACTTTTAATATGAATTCAGTTCTTATATAGTATCGTATTATTTGTAGAACTGATATGGAACCGAACCAAATTATTACGGTTCAGTCCTAGTCATTTTTTTGCTTCCTAATTTTTTTAAAATCTCCTACACTCACCGCTAAATTTGTGGCACACAAAGACATTCAACAATCGAAATTATAAGAAATACAAATATGTTCATGGTTACCATCACTTCAAACCACAAAAGTTATGTTTCAAACATAACAAGTACATAAGAGATTAAAAAATTTGGTAAAGAAAATAAAAAGACATTCACTACAAGAGAAATCTAATATTGGTTTGGTTTAATCGAACCGAACCGTACCAAACCAAATTAAACTGAATCGAAACCTGACAACATACAATTTGGTTTGAATTTGGTAGTATTTCTTTCAAACCGTATTAAAGCGAACCGAAACATATAAAAACCGAACCGAACTAAAGAAATACAATAAAACCTTCATATATTACTAAAAAAACAAATCCAAACCGAACCAAAATGAACTAAATCGAACCAAATCAAACCAAAACATAGTATGATTTGTGTTTGATAATAATTCTCCTAACATGTTCCAAACCAAACCGAAATCGATAAACCGATCGAACCGGAAATCGATATGCCCACCCCTAATGATACGTGTTGATACGTGTTCTTTTTTGGTACTACGAATGAACCTTGTTGTTATATGTACGTTTATTTTCATTTTTGTGTACTATTTGTGCTGTCAAAACTCAGAAGTTTAGGAGTTCGCTTGCTTCATTGGTTTCAAGTTGTTTAATGCCCAATTGCTGTTTTTAGGCTTCTGACTATAAACTTGCGAAGTTTACTTGATCATTTCGTTTTTAAAAGTTTTGTTTACTAGACTAAAATTTCTAGGCACTTTATGCATCACATGTGCGTGGGTATTTAGTCTTCAATAATGTAAACTTATATGTCATTTTGAAATGATTTCAATTCAAAATCTAATCTAATCTATTTAAATATACTTTAATTTTATCTCGAATGCTTAAATTTAATAAGAACAGTCATATAAATTCTAACATCTATTTAACTAATGTCTCTGTTGAGACTAAAATCATGTAATATAAAAACATTCTTAAATAGAAAACATTTTAATGATAAAATTACAAATATAGCAAACCATCTAGATCAGAATGTGCAGTGGTGGATCTACTATGGGGTCTCAACCCCCATCCAAACGCTATATATATACATTTAAAATTAAATTGTATTTATATTTGTATGGTAAATATAGTAATTTATAATTTAATTACGCTAAGAATACCAAATGTTTCTTTGGCTCAGTGGAAGCGCATCTTCCCTGTTTATCATTTTATCATTTTTTTTGCTTTTATCCTCTTTCTTTCATGTTCTCCTTTTAAGTGATTTTACATAATTTAATCAATTTTTCTTTAATTTGAAAGGTTAAACAACTTATACTACTTCAATACAATTTTTGTTTATCATATTTCATCCGTTCTTTTTCAATTATAATAATCCACTTTTCATGTTTGTCAATGTATAAATTAGACCTTTAGTATCTTTCATTCTTTATTGGTAAAAAATTTAAAAAGTCAGATCTTGATAATTTAAAGTGAGAGAAATTAACAAAAAAAAATCAAAAATTTAATTTGTAATACATTATTAAATAAAATATAGTCAAAGTAGAATATGTAAATAGGACAAAATCACAACCTTTGCAACTAAAGGAGAACGGGGTAGTATAATTTATAGTTTTTCAATAACATTTTTGCACTAAATATAAACTGATTTTTAGATATAATTGTGTGTGAACAATTTATATTGGCTAAAGGGTCAAATAGGCCCTTGAACTGACTTAAAGTGTTCAATTAACCTCTTATATAAGAGGTTCTGCCCGGCCGTCGCTGATTGGGACAGTTCCCGGTGAAATTTTTTGATGAAATTTTTTGAGCATCTTTTTCATTAAGTCTAGTTTACCCATACCAAATTTCAGCTAAAAATTCAACAGGAAAGGCAGTCAAATGATTTTCCAAAATGTATTGCGCTGTTTAACTTCGCAAATTATACCGTGGGATCGGTCCACCATCCACATGGTGTACCGATCCCAATACGGTATCCTTTTGCGATTAAAAAAGAGAGGAGAGAAGCGCCCTTCCTGTTTTGCATCTCAAGTTGCTTTTTGTGAGGAGGCTCTGCAATTGACGGCAAATCCCGATCAAGAAATTGACGGCCAAATAGCCATTTTCCATTGTCAAATCTGCCATAGCCACCTGCCATGGCTTGAAATTGAGCCCTAGGGTGATCTAAGACTAACCGCAACTCAACCCGTCAATAAATCTAATTTCCCTCCAATTTATACGTACTCACCCAATCAATTTAGTTTTTTTCCGCAACCCAACACCGTCAATATATTCACTCATCACATATTTTTTAGAATAAAATGCGTAACTTCTTACTTTTTTATTACACATCATTTATATGCTAAATTTATTTTAACAATAATAATGATTTAAAAAGTCAAATATTTCGATGTAGAAATAAATGGATTTGGAGTTTAATTTTTTTGTTACTCCAGATCTATTTTTGAAAAAAGTAACTGAGATATGTTTGGAAAAAATAGTCTAACAATAAGATCATAATTTTAACACTTGGATTTACATAATAAAAAATTGGACCTAAAAATCTCAACCTGATAAATTTTATTTTTTTTATTTTAACTTTATATAAACAATATTGATGTCATATGAAAGAGAATAAAAAATCACAAATTTTGATATATTATTTATAAAAATAGGAAAATAAATAAAAAGTTATAATGATTCAAATAAAATTGGGAATTTTATTTGAAGTGGACCCCCTGTTTTATTCTTCCAACTCGTGCCAAAGTGATTGCAAGAACTCCTCTCTCATGGGGTGAATGAAGGTCCTGGCTTCCCACTCAATCGGTTCTCCCAATCCACTATCACTCCCTCAAATACAAAAAAATGCTTGGGTTGCAACATATTTGGGGTGAAAAACTTAGGGCCTGTTTACTAACAGAGATATTTTCCTGTTTTCTACTTCTGTTTTTCGTTCTCCAATTTTCTGTTTTTATTTTTCAGTTTTTCTATCTCCAATTTTCTGTTTCTATTTTTTAGTTTTCCATTTTCAAATTTGAAAACATGTTCATCAATTTTTTCACATAGTTCTCCAATTCCACACCCTTGACCACGATCTTACACTCTACCCATACTCCACCACAACCCTTCATACCCACCCATACCTACTCGTAGGGGTCGAGTAGGGAAGTTATGGGTGGGGGTGGGGTAAGGGGTATGGTCGGAGTGAGGTGGTAAGGTTTAGGGGTAGGGGGTTGGGTGGGGGTAGTGGGTAGGGTTGGGGTAAGGTAGGGGTAGGGTAGGGAGTTGGGATAGGATGGCGGCAGGGTGGGGTCGGGACCAGGGGTGGGGCCGGGGTAGAGAAGGGTTAGGGTGGGGGGTAGGATGGCGGTAAGGGTGGGAGTAGTGGGTGGGGTTTGGGGTAAGGTAGGGGTAGGGTAGGGAGTTGGGATAGGATGGTGGTAGGGTGGGGTCGGGACCAGGGTGGGGCTGGGGTAGGGAAGGGGTAGGATGGCGGTAAGGGTGGGGGTAGTGGGTAGGGTTTGGGGTTGGGGTAAGGTAAGGGTAGGGTAGGGAGTTGGGATAGGATGGCGGTAGGGTGGACCAGGGATCCGGGTGGGGCCGAGGTAGGGTAGGGTGGGGTGGGGGTAGGATGGCGGTACGCGGGTGGGGGGTAGGATGGCGGTGGGGCGGGGCCGAGGTAAGAGGCATGTGGTAAGGGGTAAGGTAGGGGTAAGTGGTAATATACGAGGGGTGGGGGTAGGGTAGGGCGGGTCGGGGTGGGGTCGAGGTGGTAGGGGTGGCGGTAGGGTAGGGTGGATCGAGGTGGGGTCGAGGTGGTAGGGGGTGGCGGTAGGGTAGGGTGGATCGGGGTGGGGCCGAGGTCGGGGCATGTGGTGGGGGGTGGGGTAAGGTCATTATAGGGAAAAATGGATACGCGGGGTGGGGGTTGGATGGGTAGGGTAGGGTAGGGTAGGGGTAAGGGGTAAGGTACGAGGATGGAGGTACCGGAATGAAATCGACATCGGAGCGGGACCGGACCCACCACTAGGTGTAAGTATGCAAATTCATTGCAAAGGCACTGTAGCATCTGCGTTTTCCAAATTTAGAAAACTAGTAAAAGTCACTTCTCCAAATCATTAAGGAAAAGAGAGACATGTTTCATTTTTTCCGTTTTGGAAAACGATTTGGTAAACGCGTTTTTCTTTTTTACTTTCTCCAGTTTTCCAGGAATTTCTTTGGTAAACACGTTTCCTGTTTTCTGTTTTCCAGTTTTCCAGTTTTCTGGAAAACTGGAAAATATTTCTGTTAGTAAACAGGCCCTTAAATTTGGGGTTTCCACCCCCACCCATTGCGGACAGCCTAAAGAGACTGCTTGGAACCTTCCACCTCTCCGGTTGCCGCTTGTTGCGTCGGAACATAAATATTCCTCCACCAGGCTTCTAATGAAGAAGACTCACCTTCACGAATTATGTCAGAATCTACAAAAATTCCTTTGAGAAATTGAGGAAGAAGCAATAGCGAGTGACTCTGCCTCAATTTAAGGTGTGTTTGCTATTGCTTTAAAAAAGGACTTTCAACTTTTTTGGAAGGTAAAAGCTAAATGAGATGTTTGCAAAAGAAAAATTCAACTTAATTTAATCACTTTTAAGCTAAAAGCAGGTCTGGGCATGCTTTTTTCTGCTTCTTGGTATTTCCGTAAATAAGTTCAACTTTTTCGGATGTTTTTATTTCTAAATATATCAACTACTCCAAAAGTACCCTTACCCCAAGAAGGGTCGTACAGATCAGAGCATCATCTTCCCTCATCCCTATGTGACACCCACCTCCCCTCCTACAAAAATTGCAGCCGGCCGATATGCTTCGCTACACCAGACCACCAGTCCACCGTCGCCACTCCCGCAGCAGATCTGCTTCGCTGCCGCAGGTCCGCTTCGTCACCGCCATTACCTCTTTGTAGAATTCCCTTTTCATTTGTATTTTGTATGCCTACTATTTTGCTTTAACAGCTCATTTTGAATGTTTTCTCCGTGCCTGAAACATCTTTTTGTTGGCAAGTGATGGAGCATCTTACCATAGAGACATGATTATATAATTGGAGGTTATTTTTGTAATTTAATAAAATATTACATTAAGAATCACTTTTTTATCAAACACTCCAACTTTTACATTTTAATCTTTGAGCTCGTTTCTTTTGGGCTCAAAGATTAAGAAAGTGGTTAAAAAGGTAAAAGTTGTGATTGAGATTTGAGTAGAAAAAAGGTGAAATGATGTGGATCACATCTTTCTTTCCAAAAAGGGAAATGAGACTATCAATTTGGGACGGCCTAGAAAGGAAATACGGGAATATCATTTTGGCACGGAGAAAGTATAATACTACATATACGTAGTATGATATACAGAGTATGATCATGATGAAGCTCTCCTGTAACTTTTAATGGGTACTACAAAAGCATTACTAAAATTAAACTTATGAACAAAAATTTGATTTCGAGTGCACTTGGATAGATACTGTAGTATAGAAATTGAACTTGATATAAGTCATTAAAATTTACTAATTTAAATTAAGTACTTGTTTGTACACCATTTTATTGTAGTCATATATTAATAATTATTTCTACTTTTAATATGGGAACCCCATCTTTATCATAACCAATGCAAATCTTAAGCTATTCTTTCACCTATAGAAGAAGCCATGAATCAGGACGATGTGTTAATGGGTGCATACAGTTCGGCAACAAACTGAAAGGCCATAATGACCAAATCCGATTCCAAAACCAAACAACAGGGTTAATGAGGTCATCATCATCTTCTTCCTCTTCATGGTGAAAACGATTTGTACCAGAAGGATGATCATCTTCTTTGTCATATTGGGTTGGGGAGCTTTGCAGAACACAGCGACAAACAGGACAGGTGTTGTGGATTCGAAGCCACGGGAGAATGCAGAGAGAATGGTAGAAATGCTTGCAAGGCAGCTCCCTCACTTCATCAACAACCTCAAACTCATCCTTGCAGACGGCGCAGGTCGAGTCGCTGGCCAAATGAGCTGGAGTGATCATCACTCTCTGTAGAGATTCAATGGCTGAAGATGTCGCCGGAGGCGGCCCAAATCTTTCATCTTCATCAGGAGCGCTGGACCCTTAGAAAGATACAAGCCCAACATATTAAAACTTGAATTGGGGAATTGAAATTCAATAAATACCATTAAAATATATTCGCGTATTAGAAATTCCTCAGGATAGGACATTAGGACCTAAACATATTTAAAGTTCACAAATATGACTTATTGAAAGAATTAGTTGATTAAAGCTTACTAAAACAATGAGAATCTTATCTGTGAATTTTATGATTGTTTTAGTCCTATTTAGGGAGTTTGAGAATGGGAGAGGAATGCTTTGAAGATTACAGTAGGAGGATAATGGAGGGGAACCCCTCTGTTTAGGAGTTAGAGTTCAGAAAAGAAAAGATTGGGAAAGAATTATAATTAAAATGGCTTCAGAGTATAACATACGGAAACGATTGTATTAAAATAGTTGAACTTGAATGAGCAAAAGAACTTAAAGTATAGGCAATTTGAAAGGTTTTGGAAAGTTACATATAAAATCTAAAACCATCCATTCTACTTATTAAACTCCCAAACAAAAATAGAGGATCACCAAAACCTCCTCACCCTCCTCCCCCCTTCCAAATAACTTCAAAACATACCCTAAATGCTCAAACCTTAATACTATCGTATATCTTACCGGGGGCGGTATAAAATTGATCATTTTCATCTGAAGAGACCGGCATAGGAGGCCAGGGATTAGTGAGTTCTTCTGGACCAATAAACTGTGAGATCACACGAGAACGATGGACTTGCCGGAGATTACGGTCTTGGTCTTCTTGACAGAGTGGGGGATCCAGCAGGACAGCCAAAGCATCAAGCAACCCTCCTCCTCTTGGAGAGCCTTCTTCTTCTCCCCTCCTCCTAAGTCTGCTTCGCGTAGCATCCAGTTCGAACCGGACTTGGGCAAAACAACGGGGGCATAAAATTCCGATGGGGTTCGACGAAACAGTTCTGACCGATCTCTGGCATTGCCTGCACCAGTAGTAATGGTATCTTCTCATTCTCCGGAATCCATTCACCCGGATACCCACTCTTGGAAAAGGGTTCATAGGCATCAGATCGGTCAAGGGAGAGAATATGTTTTTATTGAAGGGCAGAAAAGTTTACACTAAAGCTTTTATTATAGATATATATAGATGTATGGAGGTCCTGTTGAGAATGAGGAGGAATGGCAAACTAAGGATGACTTTCTGGGATTGCAGTCTTCCATCTAGCAAAATTTCTAAACGGGGTTTGGTTTGCTTTGCCCCTTTTGCACATCTATCTTTTCTTCATCCTTCATGTCTCCCCTCATCTCAAGTAAAGAACAAGCTAGTAGTAATAATAATAATAATTAATTAAGAACTTGGAGTTTAGGACTAAATTTTCAATCTGCATGCATGCATGCATGCAATACACTTTCCAATCTGAGTCAACAATGGAATATTTATGAAAAAGATTTGCAATTTAGCCCCGTAACTATAGCTACCCAATGTTATTAGTCTTTTAAATTTATTCATTGGCAGATGAGGTCCTACAACTAATCAATATGTGCAATTTAAGAACTTTGCCACCAAAAGTACCCTCTACAACGTATTTTTCAACACCCCAAACGTCCTACAATTGTAAAAATGGATATACAAGTAAGATTAATTATAGGACTATTAATGGACACGCACAATTGAAAGTCACAGGATTAAAATTGTAAATATCCGAATTTATCATATACTGTACTAGAGGCTGCTTAGGGGCCCTTTTCTTCATCTTAATCAACAAACCCAAATGTAGTAAAATCGTTTTCCTCATTTTGAGCTTGAATAGATAATGTATTCATATAGCCTTTCTAACGAAATGAGTTTGTCACAAGTGATTTGTGTTCAACATAATTTCCTCCTAGTCTGGGTTTCTGCACTTCTACATCGATACATGACCTCACAATTAATTCATGCATCCCTTGTCCACCGCATCTCCACCCTTTTTCAGTTTTAAAATGAACCTGCATGCTTTGAAGTTGTTACCCGTCAAACATAACTAAATAAAAAGAATGTGATCAGGATAGAACTGGCTGATTCCGATCCCCAACTTGAAGAGCTTGGGACTCTAAACTCTATGTAGTTATAGTTTGGGCCCAGAATCATCTGAATCGATCCCAATCCTGGTCTCTATTTGATCCTATTTTTGGATTGGGATCGTGACCACCAGCCCCCTTGTCACTCCATCTCCACCCTTTTCAGTTTTAAAATGAACTTGCGTGTCTTTTTAATTGTTTCCCACCAAACATAATGAAATACAAGAATGTGACCAGTATAGAACCGGGCGGTTCCAATCCCTAATTTTAGGAGCTCGGGACTCTAAACCCTCTCTTAATACAATTTGGGCCCGTAATCATGTAGACTGATCCCAATCTCAATCCCGGTCTGTGTTTGATCTCCTATTTTGGGACAGGGATAGTGTCGATCCCTAGTCCCTCCATACTAGGGAGTAGGGAAAGGGAAAATTTAAGAAGTAGAGAAAATTTAAAAAAAGTAAACATAGTACGTATAAAGTAAAAGTAATTAAAGAGAGATAAGTTCGGAAAGGGAAAATTGTGGGACTACTACTAAACTAGACATGTAATGAGTAGAAAAAAGAAATGTAAAGATGTAAATAAAGAGAGTAAATTATTTCCTAAAATGGAATGGTACCTTTAAATGGGACACCCAAATAAGGAAAGTGAAAATATTTCAATGGTACGAAGAGAATATATTATTTGTAGAAACGATATGGAACCAAGCCAAACCTTAACGGAACAGTTCTAGTCATTTTTTGGTTCTTAATTTTTTTAAAATCTCATACAAATATCACTGCTAAATTTGTGGCGATCCCATAATGGTATACGAAATACAAATACATTCAAGATTACCATAAGTTAAGTTTCAAACATAATAAGTACATAACAAATTAAGAATTTTAGTAAAGAAAATAAAAAGAGTTATTGCCCTAAATAAGACTAAATTATTGCTGAAATTCCTAAATAGGAGTATGTATCTTTTTATTCCCTAAATAGGAGTTTTGTTCCACATTTACCCTTCCCTTTAATTTAGTTTTCAAAAATCGCTTGCCCACACTTTTCTCCCGTTCGTCTTCTACAATAGGGCCAGGCCTTGGTTCATCTCCTCAACAAGGATCTTCAATAGAAGGCAGCAGCGGCGACCTTTGAGCTGAGGCAGCGGCAGTGAGCAACGATCTTCAGGTCCGTAGGCGAGCAACGATCAGCGGCTGCGAGCAAAAGGGACCAGCGGCGAGCGTCGTCCAGCAGGGGCAGAGCATCCACGAGTCGTGAATCCAGATCCGGTGACCGAGTTGAAATAAGTCGTTTTCCCCTCTTCTTCTATCATCGTTTTCTTCTTCCTTCATTTCTCTTCCTCTTCTGATTTTCTCTTCTTGTTTAGTTTATTGCAGATCTCATTTTGTGTTTCATATTTGAGTTTTAAAAAATGTCAAATTTTGTTTCAGAATGCCACAAAGATGGCTTTATTGCTCTTCAAAAATGTCATCTTTTTCTTTGAAAATGCCAATAAGTTGGCATTTTTTTATTCATGTTGGCATTCAGATCAAGATGATGGCATTAGCGTCGGCACTGGCTAGATTTGCAGCGGCGAAGTTCGGATCTGCAACGGTGGCGGCCGAATTTGTAAGGGCGGCTAGCAGGCGGCGGCGGCAAGATTTGGCGAGATCCACGATTACAGTGGTCAGATCTGCTACGGCAATGGCCAGATCTGTAGTTGCGGCGGCGAGATCTACAGAGGTGGCAAGTTCTGAGGTGGCTGGTGGTGGCTGGTGTTGGTCCGGTGGTGGTCCGGCGTCCTACCGGCGGCGGTCCGGCATCCTATCGGCGACAGTGTGTTTTTTAGTCTTCAAGGGCATTTTTGTCCAAGTACACATAATAACTCCTATTTATGGAATTTTTAAACTTTAGTCCTATTTTAACAATTAAAGATTTATTTACTCCTATTTAGGTAAATCTCCCAAAATAAAAAAGACATTCACTACAAATCTACAAGAGGAATCGCTTAAATACTTGTCAAGTTATCAACTTTATTACCTAAACTAAAGTTGAGAACTCAAGCTCGAGTTCGAGCTCGATATTTTTTATCAAGCTCGAGTTCGGCTCAAGATCGACGAGCTTAATAAACTCAAGCTCGAATTCGGCTCGAGTCATTTATCAAGTATATTAAATACGGAGTAATAAAATTAAATGTTTACTTATTACAGATGGCTTCTAGTATAAGTGAGTTTTCTTTTGGACTGAAATTTGCTAGTCTCGTCTGGGATTGAAAACAGTCCAAAAGAAAACATTCTAAATAGTTTTCCCATCCACCAACACGTACATGTGTAGGCTGATTAGTAAGGAAGGAGAAGCTCTTAGTTTCCGGTGTGGGAACAAAGAAGCAACAAATAAAGGAAAAAATAAACAAAAGAAAAACGGCTTTCAAATGAGAAGTTGGGAACTGAACTTAGTTTCATGTTCAACAAAGAAGATAGCTTAGCCATGTTCTAGTTATACACACGCATATACATGTGTATATGTTCATACACATAAAGGCTTGCAAGCCGGCTCGCGAGCTTCTAGCCTAAAACAAAGAAGCTTGAATAGTGCTCATTAAGTATTCAAGCCGAACCGAACTCGAGCCAAGCTTGTTTATGACGAACTCGAGTCGAGCTTTAACCGAGCGATCTGCGAGCGGCTCGCGAACGGCTTGACTCATTTACACCCCTACGAGTACTACATAATAAATAAAATTTTAATTATTATATAACGGTTCTTTAACGATTTTCCGCATACATATTTTTATAGGAATTTTGGAAACCAAACCGTTAATAAAATTAGAAATCAAACCATAGGTTTGAAATCAAACCAAATCGGATCATAACAGTTTGATCCGGTTTGATTTGTGGGTTCTTGGTTCCAAAGTCCTGTCTAGGGATGGCAATGGGGCGGTTCGGGGACGGTTTTACATATAACCGTACCCGCCCCATTTGATAATTCCCCGTCCCATAACCGCCCCATTACCCAACGGGTAATTTTTACCCAAACCTTATCCGCCCCAACGGGTAACGGGTATAATCGCGGGTAACCGTGGGTATCGCTTTACTAAATAAGTCATTGATATTTTAATATAAAAACAATATTTTAAAAGGCGAAAAAATGGCATCACCTAGATAACTCTAGAATGAGACGCCCCTGTAAAGTTTTGTATATCTACAAGACGAGAAAGAAGACAACATAAATTAATTTGAACCTAAAAAACTTAATCTGAAAAAATAATTATTCACTAAAAATCTGATAATAATCAAACAAGACTATTAAGATCTATTATGAACTCTCATGGAAACATTATAGTTAGTACATCTACTATCCATATACTCAATGAAAATAGAAAAATCTCATCTTCTATTACTCATGGGACAAATAATAGATAAAAATGTAATAAAAATATAACTAAAATAAACGGGGCGGGTACGGGGCGGGTAATGGGGCGGGCATGTATAAAACCGTAACCGCCCCGTTACCTGTAAAAACAAAACGGGTATTCCCCGCCCCATACCCGTTTTGACCGGGACGGTTCGGTGCGGTATCCATTGGATCAGTCACAATTGTCATCTCTAGTCCTGTCCCTAAAATAAACCATGCCAAACGGCCCATTGAAAAATCAAAACAAATTGGGCCGAAAATGGACCGTGCCAGAGCAAATGGCGAGTGGCATTACCTGTCTTGTCCGAACTCCTCCGTCACAGAGAGTAAAGTTTAGCTTCAGCCAGAGAAGAATCGTTCCATCTCTATCTAAACTGCCATGGAGGTTGTCATCCCCTCCGTCCGCTACTGGCTGGTGGATCACCCAGCAATAAGCCAATTCGAGTGGAAACAAGGACATACATTAGGCTCCTCTCCCCTTTTCCTTGCCCTCACAGTCATCACCTATCTCGGAATAACTCTCTCTCTCCACCGCTCTGGCTTTCTCCCACCCCTCTCCTCCGTCTCCCTCCGCGTCATCACCGCCGCGCACAACCTCATCCTATGCCTCCTCTCACTCGTCATGGCCGCCGGATGCTCCCTCGCCGCCTTCCACCAGATGCCCAATCGCGATTGGAGATGGGCGATCTGCTTCCCGGCCAATCACACGCCTCCGCGTGGACCGACGTTCTTCTGGGCCCAAGTTTTCTACCTCTCGAAGATTCTCGAATTCATTGACACCCTGTTGATCATCCTCAGCGGGTCCCGCTCCCGACGGCTCTCCTTCCTCCACGTCTACCACCACGCCGTGGTGGTGGTGATGTGCTACCTCTGGCTGTCGACGGCGCAGACGCTGTTCCCCGTCGCACTGGTCACCAACGCCTCCGTTCACGTGCTAATGTACGCCTACTACTTGCTCTGCGCGCTGGGTTACCGCCCGTGGTGGAAACGGGTGGTAACGAATTGCCAGATTATCCAGTTTGTGTTTAGCTTTGCGATATCGGGGGTGATGTTGTATTTTCACTTTACTGGGTCGGGTTGCTCCGGAATATCGGGTTGGTGCTTCAATGCTGTTTTCAATGCTTCCCTTTTGGCTTTATTCCTTGATTTCCACTCCAAGAATTATCGAGACAAGAGGAAGAAAGACGATGCCAAGAAGAAACAGTCATGATTTGTGTTGATATTTTGTTGTATTTCTCCAACTTCAAGATGATATTTGGGCTCATTTTGTAATGGTTATTTTAATTTGACATGACCTTAAATTTTAGGAAAAATTGAAAATAATAATCTCAACTATTGTCGGTCCGCTGAAAATAATGTCAACTATTGATTATTTTTGTATAATCCCAACTATTTAGACTATCCGCCAATAATAGTCCATAACCATATATTACCTCTATAAAAAGTAAATTTTAAATAGAAATTAAGCGTAAAAATTAAAAGTTGAGATTATTTATAGGGATTACTTGTTATATCTCATCTCATCCACTTTAGAAACTACAAGAATTTATTCATAGAGACCATTATTGACGGAAGGTCCCTAAAGTTGGGATTATTCTGTAATAATCAATAGTTGGGATTATTATGAGCGGACCGCCAATGGTTGGGATTATTACTATCAATTTTTCCTAAATTTTATACTCCGTATTGTGTACTACGTAATAAACTATTTCTCCAACTATTTTAATTTGACACGACCTTTTGGCTCCATTTTCCCATGTAGTTAGGGCTGAGCAAAACCCGATCCGACCCAAAAAAATCGACATTTTTTCCGGATATTATCCGAACCGAAGTGGATATCCGATCCGAAAAGCCCGAAATCGAAAATTCGATTAGTATTGGACCTAAACCGGGTGGCGGGTAGGGTTTGTGAAATCCCAACCCAACCCGCCCGAATATCCGAAATATATGTTAGTGTGTACTTTGAATATTTAAATTAATACTCGTGTTCAATTATTTGTGTAATTATTTGTGCAATTTTTATTAAATTATTTGTGTAAATTGAATGTGTAGTGAACTAGTGTGTACAATTTTTGTTAAAGTGGCATTCCAACACTTTAATTAACCATACAATTATAATGTGTTTTGATATAACCAAAATATCCGAAATACATTAAATTATGTAATATGTACTTTGAAAATGTTAAATTAATACTTGTGTTCAATTATTTGTGTAATTATTTGTGCAATTTGTGTTAAATTATTTGTGTAATTTGGAAGTTTAGTGCACTAGTGTGTACAATTTTTGTCAAAGTGGCATTTAAACACTTTAATTATCCAATTATATATTTTTTTAGAATATAACCGAAATATCCGAAAACCGACCCGATATCCGATAATATCCGACTTAAAAATATCCGAAATACCCGATTTGAAATATCAAAGGGTCGGGCCTAGTATTTAAATTAAAAACCCAAACGGGTTTAGGGTTCGCAAACCTGACCCGCCCGAACCCGACCCGTGCACACCCCTACATGTCGTACGGAGTAGGGGTGGGCAAACGGGTCTAGAACCGCGGTCCGGTCCGGGTAATGGCGGTTCGGGTCCAAAACGAACCGGTTCCGATTTTTGTTGCTAGCAAACGGTCTGGGTAGGGTCGGGTAATTTTTTAACGACCCGGGCCGGTTTAAAAAATGCCTCGTGGTGAAGTTAAATTATTTGTGAAGTTCATTTTTGTGTGTGGTGATGAGGTTAATTTTTTTCTACTTTCACTAATTTAACTAGTTTCACTAGTTTAAGTACTTTCCTAAGTCTGTAGGAATAGATAACCTCTTGGGAGTAGGAAACAATAAGACTACTACAACAATGACAAATTGATAATTATATTCTAGTACAATTACAACTATAATCTTTACTAAAATTATTATTCTAGTAAAATTGTGATAATTATATTACTAATTTAAGAAACTTCACATTATGGGCTTTTCAGGTATTGGAGTAGCCATGGAAGTTATGTTTTTTGTGTCCCGAGAATTGTTAACGCTGAGAATGAATTTCAAATTTTCTATATTTCAGTTTTGGAGTATTTTTAAGCTAGTAATGAATATTAATTGCAATGTTGTTACTTTCGTGTTGTAATTTGGGACTTGAAGGTAAACTACGTTGTTATTTTGATGTCATTTAGGACTTTTTGAAGGTTTACTATGTTGTTATTATGGACCTTTGAAGTTGTGATTTGGGAACTTAAGAGTGGTTTGTTACTGATTTTTGTAACTTCTTTGAATGTTTGGAACTTAAATATATGAAGCTATTGACTAGGACATGTCCCTTGTGTTAAATGTGCACGTTGTTGAGTATGTTGTTATTTTGAGATTTTCTAATGCCCTATATTATTGATTTTTGGAATTCGTATGTTGTTACTATTTTTAAGACATACAAACAGGAACCGAAAACCACGAATCGGATCGACCCGTTTCAAACGGGCCGGGTAAGGTCCGGTTCCTATATTCAAAATTGCAATACCCGGACCGGCGGTTCCATTTTATTTGGCATTACCCGACCCGGCCCACGCCCAGTCCTAGTACGGAGTACCATTTATATTCTTTAAAGCCAACTTGTTTTCTAAATACGACGTGGCCATTTTGAGGGCCAAAATCTTGCTGAAAAGTCTTAAAATGCAAAAAAAAAAAACACCCATTAGATGGGCTATTATGGCTGATTACTATTTTCAGGCATTGCAGTCATTACCGAAAAAGCCCTGCATTTGTTATTTTATGTATGAAGTATTAAATAGTACTTTCCTCGTTCTTTAATTATCGCAACATTGTGATTTTTACACTATTCACAAACCCTACTTTGATCAGGATTTTCTACTAATATACATAATCAAATTATTACGTATAGAAGGTTATTGAATTCCTATGAATGTGAATTTCCAAAATATCAACTTTTTATAATGTTTACTAATACATAATTAAATATAATTACAGTCAAAGTTGTTCATCGACAAACGTGAAAATCAAACTGTTGCAAGAATTAAAGAACGGGGATAGTATAATAATAAAGATATACGGAGTATACCCTTTCTATATTTGGTAAAGGTAAATATTTATTTTCATTTTTCATTCTATTTTTTCATTTAATAAACTTATATTTTTTCACAATACTGTGAATTCAACCAGTTTCGTCATTTATGTCATTTTTTCAACTACAATTTTGAAAATTTAAATAGGTTCATTGTCACCAAATGGCTCTAAATTGACCGAAACTCTCTATATGAATACTATTGAATTAAAGCATACTATTGAAACCAAACACGCCTTAAATATAAAGAGTGATACTTGTCACCAGTTAACAACTCCACACGGATACACCATTAACAAATTTTCTCAACGTACTTTACTACTTTTGGCAGAGAAAATAATTTTGGAGTGGGGGGGGGGGGGGGGGGGGAGAGTGGTATATAATTTATTAAAATAATGTCTAGCTGGCTGAAAACAATGTGAAGATAAAACTACTACTACGTACGTATATAAATATAGATGATTTGAGGAATCATATAGTTATTTCTACATAAAAACTACGGAGTAATAACATAGATAAATTAGTAAATTAAAAAATAAAAATCAATCCCTTCGCTCCAAGATACCCCAACCAAATTTAGCCCTAAAGGAAATAAAACTCTTAGTAGACATTCATCATATTGCCCAAACCGTAGTGCTCTACAAGTATACATGAATATGTATTGTTTAACACTTTTATCTACTTGTTCATCTCCTTTCTTTGGCCAAGCCCTCCAACTTATCAACTTCATACGGCACCACCACAACTGTGGCTGCCGGGACAGTGTCCCACCGCTCCTTGAGAAAACTCTCGAATCTCAGAACCATCTGCCTCCGAAACTCAAGTTCCCTTGTGAACATATCAAAGATCAGAAAGGAAAGAATATATCTGAACGGAACAATCAGTAAAATGGAAGCACCAAACAGAAGCACCAGGGCAACCTCCATCGTGATCTGTGGCTGTCCCGCAAGAACAACTGACCGTAATTTAAGCATTGAAACATTGAGACTCTGGAGACACTTCTCTAACTCCTTCAATGCTTCTTTGAGAGCAATGATCTTCTGAATCGTGTTTGAAGGCGGTTGGTCACGGATCGTGACTTTCCCAAAGTATCTCCCGAGACGGCCTTGCTCTTTCAACCCCTTGAGTAATAGCATCCCTCCTGCCAAAACCATTAAGGTTGCAGGGAATATAATTGACAGCATGTCCCTGAAAATCAGGGTGTATGTCAGCACGAGACAAGATGCGGTTAACAGCGGGTCCTCCCAACGCCTAAGCTTTTCGAAGTTTTTGCCCATGACCACTAATGGAAGCATCAGTTCCTTGAAGAGGGCAATATTGCTAGGGATTCCTTCAATCATTGCAGCGTTAATGGTTTCCCTTGTTCTCTCCACCACCCTGCATTTCTCTCTCCACACCGTAGCTGCCTTCTCCATGACATTCTTATCGCCAACCACGAGATTTTTACTTAAGATTAATACCCCCTGTTTCACTGAACAGCTCCTCCAGAAGGAGAGTGAGGAGTTCGAAGCCCATGTTGGTGATTTCATCCATTTGCACAAGTATACGCTTCCGTCTATGTCGAACACATGAGTCTCCACTGTCTCGTTTGATCCAGAACGTTGATGTTGTTTCTCAGTTAAAGGCTGAGACCAGCAGTTCACTGCTAGGGTCTGCAGCATGACATCACTGTAGGGCAACGAGTCTTGCAGGTATGAGATCAGGACCAGTTTGTCGGGATCATCTAGAAGCTTCCCAGAAATTTGAAGTGCCTGGAGTCTTGATATTGCGTTAGTAGCATAAATGGTTGCTTTTATGTTCCCTTTATCAGATTGACGCTGGTCAGAATCCTCATTGGGTCCAAATCCTTGTATGAATTTGTATAAAGAAATAACTTCATTGATGCATGCATACCAGACATCCCTCCTCATGTCACCTCCCAAATCAATGAACTCTAATACCCATGCTTCAGATCTGTCATGCAAAGTTTGTGAACAAATAAAATGACACAATTCTTGCAGAAACAGAAACTTGTGTTCATTATACAAATTAAAGTTTTATATAAAGAAATCAGACTTATATCTCAAACAAAAATGTCACTATAGGTAGATCATTATCACAAGCTTCAGCGTTTGTGTACCAAAAGCAGTGAACAACTTCTGTTTTAGCCTTGTTTGGTTGGACGGTTTTGTAGGGGAGGGAATGAAAGTGAAGGACTTGTATGTGTTTGGTTGGGTGAAGTACGGGGGAAGGTGAGAGGAAAGTGGAGGAGCAATAAAATCCTTGAAACTCTTCATAACCCCCACCCCACCCAATTTGGAGGATTTTGGGGGAGTTCTTTGCTTCCTTTTCTTGAAACCAGCAGTTCATATAATATTGTTGTCATACATGGAGAACATTTTTACTACACCAAAAATTATTTCAAATACACAATGGAGCCAAAGACTCACTATTTTTTGGCTTGAGAATATGATGGAATAAAGCAAAATGGCTCAATAAATTGTTTGCACTTCATTGTTATGAAGCAACAGTCAGTCCATGTAATTTTCGACGTGATTTTCACTATGGGTCATCCGGAACCCCCCCTTACCCCACCGTAGGTGGGAGCCTTTGCGGCACAGGGGTAATGATGATGATGATGACACGATTTTCACAATTACAAAATACAAATTCTTATCGATCCATATTTAACTGCATATACTCTTTTTCTGCTTCCCATCGCCTCCTTTGAACCATATGGCTTAAAGAAACCTCTAAACAACTTTTCATAAGTTTGATAGGTTGAAAGTTGAGACATGACTTTTTTAACCCAACAGTATCATCACAAGTAAAAAATACTATAGTCCTCTAGCTCAGAGCAATGAACAAACAGATCTGAATGAAAACTATGGTTAACAGATGATCCTTGGAGAAGCTTACTCACTCCTGACCGGAAGAGACAGATATAGCAGAGTCAAGAAGATCAAATCCCAAAGGGCCGACCCTGGTTTTCTTTACATGACAGCCATCTTTGTTGAGACCAAGTCTTAAAACTTCTCTTTTCCCCTTCAACCCTACACCCTAGAATAACACTGAAATATGTAATAGAATCCTAGCAACTCAAACATGCACAATACATGATCTAAGATCCCCCCTAAGTTAAATTTAAATACCAATGGTATTTGGATATCAAGAAAAATGTTTTATTTTCATTCCTTCAAAACACCTCATATATATTTACTCAAGCAATTCAAACTTTAATACATGCCTTTCCAAAGATTAGGCCTGAATTGCTAATTAAAAACAAAAGAACAATATCTATAATACTTATTTAAAAAAACATTATCTGCACTACTTTAAAAACAACACCAATATATCAATACTACTTTTATTTATTTATAATAAAAAGAGTTAGATGAGTATGGTAATACGTCCTACTTAGTTGTCACGCTACTTGGAATATAGAAATTTGTAGTACCTCAAAGTAAAGTGCCTTATCGGTTAAAGTCAGTGTACCAGGCCACGCCATATTATTCTTCCATTTTAAAACTGGGGACTTCCCCCCTGAAGCAATAAACAGAATTCTCTCATCAGAAATATTAGGGAACTCTTGAAACTCATATGATTTCCATCTGTCATGCACCCTGAAATTAGTTACAGAATGTGTATGTAATTATGTGTATTAAAGAACCATAAGTTCAGCACTCACAAAGAACATTTTGAAGATTGGGTGGCTGTTACAATTTATAATTCATTAATATGGGAGATGATAATGCTCACCTGAGAAGATCATTGATATAGGTCGACCACGAGGTGAATGACATACCCCCATGTTCATTATCAGCAAGTGATTTGAAAAGGTTGTGTGCTGTTGACCAATCAGCCACACCTGATATGGCTGGAGCAATACGAACAAAAGCCTCTTCCCCTACCACCCTCCCCTTCAACTTTCAACAACAAAATATTGAACAGGTTAAGTTATAGGCTTATAGCATTGACAGTTTGCACAGAATTGGGAGAAAAAATAAACACCCCTTACTGGAAATGCTAAAAGTCAAGTCTTAATTGAAGTTAAGCAACAAGAAATTGGAAAAAAATGTTAAACTATGAACATATAGGATCTATTTGGAGCCATGAAAAGGCTACGGAATAAAATAAGAAGGAAGCTGCAAGAGCAGTTTTAAAGGAAAACGCAGGAGGAAAGCGTAAAAAACGTTCAAATTCAATAAATAAATTTTGATAATTTTGTTCAAGCTCATTTTATGTATATACTTCCATTATATACAAATATTTGTAAAACTTATAACATACGGAGTATAAAACATCTTCTGCAGAAATTTTCCCTCTCCCCCTGCCATTTTCACCAAACATAGCCATGGAAATGTATAGAGTGGATAACTACCTTAAAAGATTCCTTTGGTAGATATTCAGCTGAATAGTCATTAGAGCTGCTGCAGGGGTGTTCCCATGCAAGCATAGTTACAAATAATAGTCTTTGAAATGCAGGTTCCTGTGAAAACAGATCCAAACACCTAACTTGTCAACGATACTGGAGATATATTTATCACCATGAAAAATATCACTTGTTAATTACAACCATAATTCCTAATTGCAATGGTGTGTTTTGTAAGGTCTGGGCATGATTTATCATAACAGGCTGAAGATTGAAGTAGAGGCATCAAATGATAAAACCTTAAGGTGCGGATGAATTTCAGAGGCATCCCTTGACAGAAACCTAAAGCAGCAATACTCCACCAAATTGCGGGCATCATCATGGATAAATTCAGGAACAAGTGTCTTAAATACCTTCTGCATTTTCTGGCCAGTCACCCCATTCATCCTGCATCTCTTACTCTTGAAAAGTCAAAAACAGTTTCCACGGTAAACTTCAAAACTTAAAAAAAGTTTAATATCATAGTATATTGTATTTAACAAAATAACATATCAAAGCAAGTTCTAATGGAAAAAAAGATGAACCATATCCATGTGGCCATATCTATCCATTTGAACCCAATTCCTAGCAGAAAGGCTAGAGGTACATTTGGAATTCCGGAAATCCTAGGGTAGATAATGTAGGAAATATTTTGAAGGAAAGAATATATTATGAGATTATTATTATTCAAATTTAAATCTGATATTTATTCAAACTCACCTTATTTATCTATTTATTTCTATCATTTGGAATGGAGCCAAAGACTCATTATTTTTTGACTTGGGAATATGATGGAATAAAGCAAAATGGCTCACTAAAATGTCTACGCTTCTTTGTTATAAAGCAGCAATCAGTCCGTGCAACTTTCGACGCGATTTTCACTATGGGTCATTCGGCAACAGTCTCTCTGCTTTAGTACGAGGGTAAGACTGCGTACATCTGACCCCCTTTACCCCACCGTAGGTGGGAGCCTTTGCGGCACTAAGGTAATGATGATGATGACCTTATTTATCTATTTCTAATATACAAAGACTAAGAAATAATCTATTCGCATTTTTCATGCTAAAACCAAACACAGCAAATAACTTCCATGGCACTTTTTCTTCCTTCCTGAGCATTTTCTGAGATCTGCACAGCTCCTACGAGTTCATCACCACCACTCAGAAATGGTATAAGAGCAAAAAAGTAAGCTTCTTTACCGGCTGAATTGCTCAATGGAGAGAATAGCAGGCAAGGAAAGATCCCCCCTTGGTGTGTGCCTGTCAACAGTCTGTTCAGACACGAATATATCATCCACATCTTGAGTGTCTTCCTGAGCAATCGACCTTCGATCATTAACACTTTTTACTAGTGGTGAAGTGACTTCAAGCAGAAAGTTTTGAGTCTTTGAAAGCCATTGATTTAATGATTCTTTCACTGAACCTGGGAACAAATACCAGAAGCACCCATCCTTAAACCTTAGGACATAATAAAAAATGGTTGAAGCCTATGACGGGTTATTCCTGAGATATTTACCAGCACCTGTCCTAATTATGTTCAAAAGAATTATTTAAAAAACGTGGAATAAATTGGGAAAATGAAGTAGAAAAGCGTCCGTATTCAACTTAAAAGTCTTCATGAACTAAAACTCAGGGTATAGGAAGTTTAATAAGCTGAAATATTGCATCTGAGAAGAAAAAGGGAAGTTCTGAAACCCTACTGGTGTCAATATGATTTAACTTCCATTTACTGTCGCCCAGCGATCTGCTGACCAGTTTAAGCCGAAACTTGTTACTGTTTGATGGAGAAGAAGAAGAAGACGAAGAGCTAGATTTCTTATTACAACATAGAATCTTGAACAAGACTCGACGGTACTGAAGAGGCTGAGGAAGAGCTGGGAAAAATGGGGGAGCCTTTCCCAACTTGCAGTTCATGGTTTGTCTTCCCTTTCTTTTTTACATAAAAGTTTCTTCAATAACCATTGATTTGTTGATTTTTATGGTCTGGAAGGAAGAAACCATCGTTTTGGTGCAGAATCAGAATTAGTTTTAAAAGCTGGTAATCCCAGTTTTTAAAAAAAATGATTCTGGGAGTAAATTAGAGCATCAGAAGTGCTTCAATATCACCCAAACAATGTAACTTCTGTTTCTGCCACCTGAATCAGTTTTGAGAATCAGATTCAAACACCCCTAAAATGACCAACACAGTCCAACACCCCAACCAGCTATGCCATTAACTAGTTCACCCTCCTAATGGGCTAAATTGAATACATTTTAAATAGTTTTTGCCAGAAAAAAAAAACATTTGAACTAGTTATAATGGAATTAATCACTTGATCTTCCATAATTTTTTTATACGAAGTACCTGTCTACATTTATCAATTATCATGTTCAAAACAATCCATTCATCATAATATTCAAGATTCCTTTTCTAATTTAGAACCATGTCTGCATTAATTATAGACTTTAGAGCTACTGGAAAGCATTTGTAGAATACAACTCCTAAACTTTAGAAGTCCACCCGTAAATTAGAATAAAGTGCACTCCAATAAAATTGTCCTTGTAATAAAAGCATTTACTTTAAAACTAATAAATTTAAATAGAACAATCAAACTACGATTAAGTTCAATCATTATAATTCATAATTTTTAGATTTAGTCCTCAAATTATTCTATCTAACATTTATACAATTCCCTAACATTTAATACTAACGATGTAGCTAACATGAATGAGTAATCGATATACGCCATACTTCGAGGGCTCAATCTAGATATATAGTTCTAAAAATAAGTAGTCCTAACATTTAGACAATGTCCAACTCATTTACGTAAATGATGCTAAGTGCTCTCTTTGTTCTATATAATACTACCTTCGTTCCAAAAAGAGTTGCAAATTTGACTTTTCTTAGTCCCAAAAAGAGTTGTAAATTCCTAAACCAAAACCAAAAGTGAAATGGACAAGTGAAGACAAAAAAAGGAACAACCTGGATAATATTGTCAAAGATATCTTGTTCAAAACTATTGATGAGTCCATATTTAATTTTCAAGAATAAGAAAATGTGAGACTTTGCGAGGAACTCATCAATATAGGAGCAGGAGATGAGTAAAAGAAGAACAAACAACTTACTAATGCCCTCAAAAAGTTTGAGGATATCAACAATGGTGCCACAAGAAGTAGTGTTAGAAATCTTTGATTAGGGAATGACTCTCAATAAAAAAAATAGATCTACCTCAAATTTTTAAATTTTCACATAACAAGTGAGATACGAAGGTTACTCGTATGAGAAATATCTAAGATCTAAGCACTTTGATAACAATTAAGCTTTTCAATGACTTAAAAACTTATAAATATTACATTATTCATACACTCTATTTTGATATTATTTTATTCATTAATGTATTAAACAATTTATTATATAAAACATTTTAAATTTGGCTCGCAGCTTAATAATGAAGTGTGACTTTAACTCTCTGTAAATTTTACTACTTCGTAATACTCAAAATATATATAGACTAAAAATAATACTCCCTCCGTCCCCTTAAGTTTGTCCCGTTTTACCTTTTTCGTCCGTCCCACTAAGTTTGTCCCATACCGTATTTGGTAACATTTGAGTGGTTAAAATTCATTCTTACTTTATTTACACTTTATCAATTCAATACCAACCACACAATTCCACTTTTTCTTAAAAACCACACCACACCCCTCCGTCCCAAACTTAGGGGGACGGAGGGAGTACTGAGTATTAGTTATTTCAAAAATAGAAATAAAAAATGTTAACTTCACTATCGTAAATGTTTAATGTATTTAAAATACTTATTTAACACCGTAAATTTGCATTTGTGAAAGTAAAATCATATGATAATGATACTAAACATAACTTTTTATATAAAATCTGGAATGTTAATATTACATATATAATTTAAATTTAAAATATATAATTATTTATCAACGTACTTTAAAATTTGAGATATTTGAATTATTTTTTCACAATTGAAAAATCGAAAGTAAACGATACGTGGATATTTTTGGAACCACTATTAACAGAAATATGAAGTGAGTGTGAATGAATAAACAGATGAGGATTTTCTCTGCCGCAAACTCAAAGTCACAACGGCACAACGCTATCTGATATCACTATGCGTGGTATTTCAAGAGCTTCACACTCTTATTCACCTTTCTCACCGGATGGCCTTTTCTGCAATTTCAGCTCCGGCGACCAATCTCGTCGCCGCTCGCAAATTCCCGAAGGTCCACCAACCCCACTCTCTCCCCGCCTCCGCCACCCACAACGCCGCCGGTTATAGCAGCAGCCGTGGCGGCACTGTCATCATTAATAGTAGTGATCCCAAGTGGAGGGCCAATGTATCTTCATTCCCATCTTTCTTTAATTTTTACAAAACAAAAGACCCAAAAGCCATTAAAGAAGAGCTCTTTGAGGCACTTGCGCCCCTAGATCGTGGGGCGGATGCGTCTCCTGAAGACCAAGATCAGATTGAGCAGGTTACTCCTTTTTCTTTTGTTTTTGTCTTGGAAGATATTCTTTCATCCAGAAAAATTATGCTCTGAAGTGTTCTGTTTGGATGTAAATTATTATTTGATCTGAAGTAGTTTGCTTCTGTTTAAAGGGATTGAACATGTGGTTGAAAAATACGAAGTGTATATCTGTATATGGAAGAATATTGTCTAATTTCTTTTGGAGACTGGAAAAGTACTAAATTGGACAAGAGCAAAACCTGTTTGTAAATGAAATTCAATATATCTAAAAATGAAATATCTTAACCTCAAACACACTTCTCTAAAAGCAAACAATAAGAACATTTCTAAAATACTTAGTAGTTTACAAAAATATCTTAACAATATTCTGAGGGATTGGGGATTGAGGGGGCCCCGGGGCTATCGTTGATTGCCCCTAGCCCTCCAGACTTATAGCATCCTAAGTGGCGTATTAATGGACGTTTAGTCTTGCATTAAGTGAGTGTAAGGTAGAAGTTGCTTAGAACTTTGAGTCGTTGAGAAATGTCCTTTTGGGAGCTAAGATAGTTAGGGGCAGCTTCTGAGCTTACAGCTAAATAGGTAGCATTGAAAATCTTGAAGGCAACCGTTCTGGTTTATAAATAATACTGTGGTTTATTGGGGGGGGGGGGGCTATCATTGATTAACCACACAATTTAAATATCTCAAGGATTCAGGGGTGGGCTCTCCGTTTTGGTATATAAATAATACTGCAGTTTATATGCGAGTGAGATACAACAACATCCAAGCCTTAATCCCAAAAGAAATATATGCGAGTGAGATATGAAAAAAAAAGATTATCCAACCTCAAAAGCACTCCCATTTTGGGCCATAAAAATGGATGCAGGCCACAACCAAATTCTTGAAAATTCAATGCCTTTTGGGCCATAAAGCTTAAAATCATAAAGCTTAAAAATAGCATCAAAAATTTTTAAGCTTAAAATTCAATAGCTTAAAAATTGAATGGTTGCCTTTTTGTTTGCGTGTGTACTTTAGTGTCTGACTTTCCTTAATTAATATAACTGCCCGTTTATCAGATTGTTAGGAAGCTGGAAGCGGTCAATCCTACAAAACAGCCTCTGAAGTCTCCTTTCTTAAATGGAAAGTGGGAACTTTTGTATACAACTTCACAATCAATACTCCAAACAAATGTAAGTCCTAATTACCTTGCAAAAACACTCGCTGTCATATGATATATGTTTATATTGTGAGTATTATGTACTAACATCGTTTGTGAACAGAGACCAAAGTTCTTAAGATCAAGAACAAACTACCAAGGGATCAACATTGACACCCTTCGAGCACAAAATATGGAATCTTGGCCCACCTTCAACCAGGTAATTGGATTCTTGAAATTACACTGCTCGTTTCAGTTTGTTTTTTAAATATTTGAGTAGTAAAAGAGAAAAAAGGATAACCAAACATACCCAAACCATATAACTAGCTAAAGTGTGGACTAGATTTGGTACCGTGTGTTGAACTGGGCCAAGAGTGCAACACCAAGGTAACGTGCAAAGGCGCATATAACTAGGTACTTTATGGGCCTTCCTCCTAATAAAAAACTGAGTTAATATCGTGCGAGTCAATGACACACTTAACAGATATATAAACGTATACCATACTTGATCTGTTGGTCATAGGTGGTGCACTGGTGCTCATGCACCCAAAGGTGAAAACATCCAATATTTTTGAAATTTCAATTAAAGTTTTCAACTTTTGAATTATTGTATATCTACATAGGGGGTAACAAAATCTTTTTAGAGTCCAGAAGAGAAAACATTATACTGCAACATTTTAAGAAATAATTGGGGAATATCAAATGATACATTTAAAAGATCGATATCTGATTATCTTTTCTCAAGAACTTATAAAAATTGTATTGTCCAACAAGAATCGAATATTGATCTTCAAATATCCTCCAATGTTTCCATAAATTCAAGGAGCCAATGTTTCAATAAAGATTGATATTTTAATCCTTGAATGCACCTCACTTACTTTCTACATTTCGAATATGGGAATTAGTGAACTGCAATATTAGTTCCAACTGATGATGAGTATGATAAATAATTCTAGCAAATTATTATTATAGTAATGGAAGACAATACATCGAAATAAGAATTCAATTCACTTTTTCTGCAGGTGACAGCAGATTTAACTCCAATAAATGCAAGAAAGGTGAATGTAAAGTTTGATTACTTCAAAATTGTAGGGCTGGTATGTTCATCTATGTTCTTATGTTTTTATTGATATACTCTGTATATGGTAGAAAATACACTGGATTAGCTCATGTAGTTGACGTAATTTCATATTTGTTTCTTTGGGAAAGTTTTAATACTAGTTCCCATTCTGCCATTCATAAAGAAAATAATGTTTACTTGTTTAATGCTAATCTGTGTTTTTCCTCCATGGACTGCAACTCTTTTCTCTTATTGATTGAGAGCGTAATTATACACTCTTTTTAATGACAGATACCAATAAAAGCTCCTGAAACAGCTCGTGGGTCACTGGATATTACTTACTTGGATGAAGAAATGAGGTATCTGTCATCCATTTTTCTGCACAGCGCATTTCCATAGAATTAAACTGTTGTTTATCTCATTTACATAGTATGATGTCGTGTCATTAACAGAGTATCAAGAGGTGATAAAGGCAACCTCTTCATTCTGAAAATGGTGGACCCCTCTTACCGGGTTCCTCTGAAATAGCCACCATGAAGAGAGATCTTTCCTCTATATGTGTGTATGTGTGGAGCCTAGTTAGGGTCAAATCCTAATTAGGTTATGCTAACAGGTGATTAATTTGGATGAAAGTTGACCTGACAAAGAGGAATAATAAAGTGGAGCATTTGGATCTTTATATTGTAAAATTTGGGACATTAAATTAGTTATCTCCACATATTGTTCAAAAGTACAGAATTGATACAAATAATGGTGGTATGAATCATCATATCCAAAGCATTACAACATGAACATACAAATAATGAAGGAGAGCACAAAGCAAACTTGCATAACAAAAATGGGGTCAAGGTCACCAAGCACTGTGAGTCCTTACCAGATATATAGGGGATATCACAAAGCAAGTCAATAGCCACATTGTCAACACACCAAGAAAAGATAAGTTGATCCAAAATCAAAGTTTAAAATTTTTAAACGCGAGAAATAAAAATTCACACTAACACTTGGTACTCTTCTAGAGTTCAGGATTTAGGCTTTATATTATACTATAGTGATTTATTGTTTTAACATATTGTATTGGTCTACTATAGTGATAAAGTTCTAAATAGATGCATATGTTTTAGTTGGCAATTTTCCCGTTAAGATTATTTTCTTGTCAAAACCCTTTTAGATTTGTTCAAGCCATTTGAAGGCACGTGGAATGAGGAGGGAAGTCTTTAATAAATAGGGAAAATGGAAACTAATAATCCAACTTTTTAGCGGTCTTCTTACAATACTCACCTTTCCGTTATTCATGAATGATCCAATCTTTGAACCTCATCTTCATTCGGTGGTCCCTGATCGGTTTATGACATGTTATTCCAAGTTATTTTCTTATCTTTGCAAACCAGTATACCATAAATCACACCTTTACAAAGATAATATTTTGTAAAGATAAGAAAATAACTTGGAATAGCCGGTCAGGGACCGGCTAATGAAGATGAGGTACAAAAGTTGGATTATTCTTGAATAACAAAAAGGTGGAACTATTTTAAGAAGACCGCTAAAGGGTTGGATTATTAGTTTCCGTTTTCCCTAATAAATACTCATTTTTACTGTGATCACTGTCAAAGAAGTGGCAAGGAAAGGAAAAAATGCTGCGTCTATGTTGGGTTTTTGCCTTTGCAAGTGCTAAGAAAAAATTAGTTTTGATTAGAAATTTCAAAACTATTCACATGTTCAGATTTCTGTCTATATATAATATACGAAGTAATTAATAAATATATAAATAGAATGTGTTTGAACAAATATCTAAAATTAATACGGAGTATGAGTTTGAGCTAAAATGTTTCCACTCTGGTAGGATTTAAAGGGTGTGATCAAACGCAAAATAAAATCTAACACTTGCCTTTATAACATATATGGAATATGAGTTTGAGATTGGCAACTCCAGGGCCAGAAGCTAACCAACATAATGGCATCTATCAGCTCGCAACAGTTCCTACTTATGTGCACAGATCATCTCAGTGCCAACATTCCAAATATGATTTTAACAAGAGCACACACCACAAAAAGGGGAAAAGTTTAGCTTTGATGAACAAATGAATTTGAAAGACATCAAGAACTCAATGTTACCTTTCAGTTGGTTACTTAGAATATGGCCATTTGTTTCCCAAAAATGCATATTCTCTTAAGATGTACTCCTTAGCTCCTTATTATGTACTCTTCATCCATCTATTATTACATCCAGAGATAATTGTTCATTATTTTCAAAACTATTTGAGTATCACATAAACTCTTCTAAGGTTTAAACCATTAATAGCTTCTTTCCAAAGGCTCTTCACAAGCAGGTCTTTAGTGGCAGAATCAATCAATTATATAATACGGAGTAGCACATTTCCTCAAAAACTCTCCAAGAGAACCTTATACAGTTATACTTATGTATGACAACCTTATACATATAACCGTCCAATTCGAGCCCACTCTTCCTAGCCATCCCAAACAATCTCTGCACCGTTTCGATACCCCACCTGAAGTGCAAAATGGTGCATATATCAGCCCTGAATATGTTTGCGTGTGTGGAAAAATATGACGCATATACATCTCTTCAAGTATGACGATGACATTGACAACATCAATTTGCATTTCGATAATGTCCTCATAGAGATGAGTATAGAAATAGCCAACCATTTCTGGGAATCACATCACACACTGTTTTTGCAAGGTGGAAGACCTTTAGGAAGTATCACAATTTTGGATACCCCATAGAAGTGAGTTATTAAAATGAGTGTGTTAAATGACAGGCTTAGCCCTTATCTTTCCATCTTGGAAAAACGTTTATCGACTAAGTGAACGCATCCTTGATGGGGTTGACGGGCTAACTTGGCAAGCATTAAGGAATTGCTTTTAGGGATTCAATGAAAAACAATGGAATAAGAACAACAATGTGAAGTGCGTGAAGTTGTACTTTTGATTTATTCAGTTCTCCGACTATGGGACACATATAGTTGAGAAAATGAACTTGTAACCTTGCACTTCGTATAACCTAACTATGGAATGAGAATAACAATGTGATCAACATTGTTCAAATGCCAGAAACTAGATACACTGATTTCAGTTGAAATATCACTACTTTTCCAACATAAAAATTAAAACAAAGTGTTTTACACTTAAAAACTATTAACCTCAAATCAAAAGCCTTGATTCAAACCATGTTAACTATTTTGGGGCTGGTTCTACATATACCCAAATGAAATGACTATTTCTATAGGTCCATTGAAAATGCACCTGATAAGCAAACAATATTATGTGTCATGTTTTATCATTCAGTTAAAATGTGACATTTAAGAATGTCAACTAACAATATACGGATCTTGTGATCATACAACCCATAAATATTGAACAAACTCAAGAAGCCTGTTTCAATTCCATAGATCTATCAAAAGATCGAAAGTCTGAGGTAAGATACAAGTCCAACATAACGTTATATGCTACATTTGCACTAGCATCCATTAATCCAATACAAATTTTGGCGAACATATAGCCCCAAAATTACATAATGCATTTGCACTCACACTAAAAGTGTACTAATAAAACGAAACATTTCAATAGATTATACAGAAAAGTGAAAACATATATGGAGTAGATCAGAACAAGTGGATGCGACGAGCTTAATACATGAGCCCGCTAGCCCTAAATATGCATATATAGAGCTAGCTAGCTTAGAACAAGCACAGAACTTAACTCTTCATTTATTTATATTAATAATGTGGCTCTGGCCAGCAAAATGTAGACCGGTTTTATCAAGCTGCATTGACCATGTACTTCATCCCGCCCGCGCAGTGACCTGGGAAGCTGCAAATGAAGTAATTTGGTCCCTTTTTCAGAGTGAACACATCATTCCCCGACGCCAATACCTTGTCGACTCCCAGCCGCGGCGCACCGCATTTGTCATAGGTTTCCTTACTCACGGCTACCACGTTGTGGGTGCCCTTTGGGTACTTGAACACTACATGCATCATTACTTATTTAATCAGTTTCTAACACACCAGGGTACATGACTATTGACTATGGGCTGCGAGTCCTATTATTGTTGGGTTAGATTTTACTCTCTATGAATACACGATCTCTCCTTATAATCATTATAAAAAAATAGTAGTAACATCTGGGCTTGATAGTTCCCCAAACATAGTCATTCTTAGCGAACTAAGTTACCAATCTCTTGTGTTCTTTCTTATCGTTCTTCGTATTGTGATTGTTTAAATCGTAACATGTTGCACACATGGCAGAATAAATATATATAGACACATAAGAATAAATTAAAAAAAAAAAGTTTGTTTCTTTGCTTTCTAGGCGAGTGGGCGTAGTAAATTTTAGTTACTTTTAAATAAAAAATAACTGAATGCATATAACACTGTAAAAAGAATATAATGTGAACGGCTTTTTTGTGTTTATATTTTTCCTGTCACGTATGCATTGTTGAGACTTTTAGAGCATCTTCAATGCAAAAACGTGAAAGATGCATATGTGGCATGAGAGACATTCAATTAAAAACAACGAATATAATATCTTTCTTTTTATTTGAACAGTCTAATATGTTTTTTGTATGGTTTTCTTCACAATATCAAGCACAATGTCTAGATGTAGACATTATCAAGTACAATGCCTAAATGTAGACATTGTGGTTGACATTATTCAGAAATACTTAATTAAAACACGTAAGACCGTAAAAAAGATAGAAATATCATAGATTTAACCCTTTGTGTCTATGTCTCTCATTTCACATGTACATCGTGTTTATTGTAACATTGTAGATGTTGTTACATTCGAGTGCATGTGAGTATAGGCACCATTTTTTCTAATCAATTACTCCCTACTTTATTATGCACAATATGGTCAAAGCTCTTAGTGGACTTTGTAATTGTCAAATAGGGGCGGCCGCCTTAGGCAAAAAAAAAAAGGAAAAAATAGGCCCAATTCTTTATATATATTGTGAGTAGGCTTTTTTTTAATTCTTAAGTTTACTTAATTAGGCCTAATGTTTTATTTTGACAATTTGAAAATTTAAAACATAAACAAAAAGTTTTAAACAGAGCCAATTTTAAAAAAGAATATATGCAGTCTTTTAGAATCTGTTGTAGTTTTAAAAACAATATATACAGTTGTTGCTGGATCAATAAAAGATACATCTCTTGAGCCTTCAAGTATCTTAGCCTTTAAGGTTTTTTATTCAGTTTAATGATTACATAACAAATTTATATAATTACTCCCTCCGTCCATAAAATTCTTGCCACTTTGACTCGGTACGGAGATTAAGAAAGTGGAATAAAATAGAAATGTATGGTTGTGGTTGTGTAAGAAAAGGTGAAATGAATTTGAACCACACAAATTGTTAAAATGGTAAGTGGGAAGAATTTTTTTGGGACGACTCAAAAAGGAAAGTCAGAAGAATTTTATGGAACGGAGGGAGTATTTTCCAGTCTGTGGCTCTCAAATCCATCCCATTTACTTATTTGTTTCAAACTTCAATAAACTATATTTGAGTTCCTAATAGTAGTTTTAAAGGAAGTCAAATTGGCAATTCTTCTCACACGAGTTTTCTTGGCGGCCAATTATTGTCCCTATGAAAACTTTCGTTCTTTCGAGACTTCAAATATTAGACTTCCAGCGATCAATAAATTATTCTCAACTCATGAATTCAATATGTACGTAGTGATATTTCTTTTCATTTATCCTTTGAATTGTAACGGAAAGAAAGTTTTGTGTTATTATACGTGAAAATTTTATTATTTGTTATCTTTACTATTGGAAAAAAGGTTGAATATGAAGTGATTATTGATGATTTACTTGACAGTGTTATGCAAAAAAACGTTTTTGCGTAATGTTTTTTTCTTTTTGTATGATACTCGTGGACCGTGGTGCTACTTTTGCCTAAATATGTAAGTTTAATAATACTCCGTAGTAAATTAAAGTGATTTTGGTCTTTATTTTATGAACTTTATTAGACATTTTTATTATATAATTCATATAAATATGACTTAGAGTTTGTCTTGATATAAGCGCTGGTTGTTCCTTTCGTTACTTGTAAGGTATTAAAGTTGTTACGGAAAAATAAATACGTACGAGCCCGTTTGGAGAACTCTGTTTTCGGCTTATCAGGCTTATCAGCCAGCTTTTTCACCAAACACGTAACTTTTACTTTCGCGCGCTGAATTGTGTAATAAGCCGAAAAAGTAAGGTTGGAGTTACTTTTCTGGCTGTATTGGCTGAAGTTACTGTAGAGGACCATTTTAGCTATTTTTACATATAATTTTTTCTTTAATTTATTAATAAAATATATTTTAAAAATATTTTTTTCTTAAATCAGCAGAATCAGCCAAAACAGCCACTCCAGCCAGAATATCATAAATTTCAGCAGAATCAGCCAAAACAGCCGATTTTGGTTCTACCAAACGGGCTCGTAGTATTAATCTTAGGACACTAACATATTGATGATCTATTATATCGTTTTTTACTCTTTCTTTGAAAATCTTATATAAATAATCTCACATTTTACAAATCTGCTCAAAATGATCTCATCTTTCATTTTTCCTTTTTTCTCCCTAATTTTTTTCTCTTTATTTTCATCCCTAGACACTTTTTATTCCTTTTTCTATCCTTTTGTTTTATTTCTTTTCCATTTTAAATATTCTATTTCTTACTCTTTTAAGAGATTTTTTTTTGTAAAATTTCTCTTCAAAATAACTCTTTTTTTCGTTTTCTTTTTCTATCCGCATTTGATTTCATTTTCGGTTTATTTTTTTCTTAATCATTCTCTTCTTATTAAAGATCCTATTTTAAAAGTGAAAATTTAAAAGTGGGAAAGTGAAAATAAAAAGAAAACAGGACTTACCAAGTGAGTCGCCGGCTTTATAGCGCGCTCCGTTATTGCCTTTGAAGCTGAACGTCCAAGGAGGAAGGGAGTAAACGGCAGCTTCAGCCATCTCCGCCGGAAGAAGCAGCAAACACAGCACAACTGCAGCTGCGGCGGCGCATGACGATGACATCACTCCTGCACTGCCTCTTCCCTGCTGATGACGACACTTCCCGGCCATCCTTGTCGGATAATTAATTAATTACTCGTTTTTAGTATACACCGGCCAGTAGTTGCTTTCCTGTGTTTATAATACTGAGTACTATAATCGTCTTGATAAGTAATCAACCGGAGGTTTAATTTATAAGAAATTCGCGCCATGCGCCATGCATGTGATACTATTCGCATATACGGAGTACTATTCCGGTCAAAATTGTCTCTCTTTTTTTAGGGGTGGGCATAAAACCCGAACCGAACCGGTGCCGAACCGTACCGTAATGGTACCAAACTGAATATCAGGTATTTAAACGGTTTTATAGATTTTTATCCCGAACCGAAATCGTACTGTTTGAAACGGGTACGAGAACGGTTCTAGATTTTGAGAACCGAAAAGAACCGGACCGGACCGTTCAAAAATAATGCATTTGAATTTTTTATATTTTCTTTCATACCAATAAATATATTTTATAGACCAACATTTTTATACCCAAATATGCATTCATGTGTCCCTAAAATAGCAAAATGTGTGTGTTTATATGTATATTGTTATTTTTCTTTTTAAATAATTTTGTGTTATATTTTGTTATGTATTGAAAGAAGGAGAAAACAATTAAAATATTCCAAACTTTTGCGTGATTTAAATATCCCAAACTTTATATAAAAAGTTATTTTAGCACCATGATTATGAATTATTTTGTTCAAAAATAACAAATTGTTGTATTAATTTCATAATTTAAAATATTTTAGCATTCATGAAGATACAATTAACATTCTAAACTTCCATTGTAAAATAAATAGTACCACCCACACTCTATATAATTGCAACATTTTCAATTTGCTATTTTAAATTATGCAATTAACATAATAAATTAACATTTTTGAAAGAAATGATACATGATCATGATGTTAATAGAACTATTTATATAAAGTTTGGGATATTTAAATTATATATGAAAGTTTGGGGTATTTATCTCACACTCCTTCAAAGTTTGAGGTATTTTAATTATTTTTTCCTTGAAAGAATGTTAAAGTTTTAAAAATCATTAATGACTATTCATTTGTAGTAATGTAGTGTATATGAATTTTTGTTGTATCATGTTTGTGCAATTGTACAACTTAATTAATATGGTTTAAATCGTAGCTCTCACAGTTCAACTATAAATTAAATTAGAATTTTTCTTATACTCCCTACGTCCCATTTTACCTGTCCTACTTTCCTTTTTGGGTTGTCTCAAAATAAGTGTCTCCTTTCTTTTTTTGGAAAGAAATATGTGGTCTACACCATTTCTCTTTATTATACTCAAATCTCAACCACAAATTTTACTTTTTCAACCATTTCATTAATAACCGTGCCAAGTCAAACTAAGACACATAAAATGGGACGGAGGTACTACTACTTATGCAATTTCTTGTATTTATATGAAAACTTAATGTGAGTTGGTTGGTGTGATGTTATTTATTAATTGCAAGATTTGTCCAACTTTTTAGCATGTATTTGGTATTGTACCGTACCGTTTTGTACCGTTCCGAAACGACATGGTACCGAATGGTTCCATCATTAGAACCGGACCGTACCGGACCGTTAGAAAGCTCGCAGATACATTACGGGTTTTACTAATTTCCCGGACCGTTCCAGACCGCGCCCACCCCTACTTTTTTTTCACTTAAGATTGGCTCAATTTTTGTTTTCAACTAGTCACACTAAGATTATCTCATATCAAATTTGATAAAGTCTATACGGTTTTAAATCATTCTTATTTACTAGACCATAAAATTTCAATTCAATTAAAAACATGCTTAAATGTAAAATTTGAATATAATTTACTATGATTAAAGTTACGAACTGCTATAATCACTACTTACATTTTTGGAATCAATCTTAATTTAAATCATAAATAAGTACTAATTTCCTTTTAACGAGAGAATTTCTAAAAGATACGGAGTAACATACTCCCTGTCCCGGAAAATTGTTCCCGCATGGACTTGGAACGGAGTTTAAGAAAGTGGGAATAAAGTTGAAATGTATGGTTGTGGTTGAGTAAGAAAAAGGGAAATGAATTGTAGCCACAAAAACTTTCTAAAAGTGGAAAGTGGAACAAATTTTTGGGACGGCCAAAAAGGGAACCGGGAACAATTTTCAGGGACGGAGGGAGTATAATATTATATAACATAGTTTTTTTTATTGGACTTATTTGAATCTAAGACCAGACTAGGGATGTTTTTACTTGGGCTATAATTTACCAATTTGGTTTGATCTGATCTGTTTAAGTCTGATCCGGTTTGTTTAGATCTGGTCTTGTCTGAACCGATCTGATCTGATGTATGTCTGGTCTCTTTGTATTTTATAACTACGGAAGTCTGGTCTGATATGTATAAGTCTGGTTTGGGATGGTCTGGTCTGATTTGGTATGGTCCTGGACTCAAAACAATCCTAGTTATACAAGGTCAGACTCGTTTAGACTTCGACATATTAAAATCCACACAAAGCATACATTTATCATGCCTGATCAAATCAATTCAAGTAGAATTAGATGAGACTATACAAGAGAATTTGTGTTCGGTTAGATCAAAAGCACCTTAAGATTGCTTTAGGAGAAAAAATATTTAGTTCTACTCCGTATTGTACTCCGTAATATTTATCCATAGTTTATAATTGATGATTTTATATTAAAAATATTATTAGTTAAATTTCATGAAAGGAGTTTTGTGATATAGAGAAAGTAACATGCACATTTGCACCGTCGGATATGATGGGAGACCCCGACAGGTGCTTGAATGGAATTGGAGTAGTGGACGGTCTTGATCAGAAGAAAGCAAATGCCCAGCCCCATAATGTTCAGCTACTGAACAGAACATGCCATAACTTACTGTCTGTCTCATTAATATTACTACCTTCCCATTGGACATTGCACGCTATAATTTAAATGAGACATAAATAAAATAAAAATCAAGTGATTAGAATTTAAACGAAAGATAACTAATTGAGCAAAATAAAAATAAAATCTCTTTTTATTTGCCCAAATTCCTTTTTTGAGACTATTAAATTAATTGTCTCACTTTCTTTTTAGAAAAACTCACTCAAAAAATAGTAACAATATCCCTACAATGTTACTACAGTATCATTAAGATATAAAAAACTCTTACTTTTCATAAAATCTATAGTAATTATCTTAAACTATGTAAAAAGTAAACATGTCGATTAATTAGATACGGAGTATTACTTTGATTAAAAATGACAAAAAAAAAAATTAAACAATAAAAAATGAAAAATTAACAAAGTCCGGAAGAGAGGAGGTATTTAATGATAGTTGGACTTTTGAGTGCATAATATTACCAATGATGAATGGTAGGTAAGTAGGTTTGTGGAATTTAATAACTTGTCGGCATTAATGGGTTCTGGTCTCAAATAGACAAATAGCCATGAGCACTGTCCCTCGTACGGAGTTTACATATGGGAGTCACATTATATGGAGAATATAATGTCCAATATTATGGGTGGAAAAAACCGAACCGAAATCCGGAAACCGATCCTGGACCGACCTGAATTATGATCCGGTCCAGGTTTTTTTTAACCGGCCCGAATTAAAAAAGAATCTGGACCGAATCGAAAATTACGGGCTCATTAGCGGGCCTTAAAATCTATAACCCGACCCGGATCGAAAAAACCCGAATCAATTAGTTTTAATATAAAATTAATATAGTACGGAGTATATGAATATAAATAAAATATTTCCTAATATATTATTATAATCACGGTGGATAAAAAAAGATTTAGTAACTTTTAGTGACTACAAATATGTTGAATATGTTTAGCGTAATGATGACCATGAGAATATATTTATAGCAACTCTAGTAACTTTTTTATTTATAAAATTTATTTTGTAATATTTTTAAGAAACCTATATTATTTATATATATACATCTTACATAAAATATTAAGATAATTGTGGTTTGTATTTTTGATTTATAATTGTTCTTTTAAAATATAAAAGAACAATGACTTATTTCACGTTCGGGCTTTGACCGGTCCAACCCGAACCCGGACCGAACCCGGGCTACCAAAAACCCGACTCGGACCGAATATAATTGGCTTTGTCCCGGTCCCTAATTTTCATAACCCGTGATATTCCGGGTAATTTCCGGGTTTAGCAAAAACCCGACCCAGACCGGACCGATCCCACCCCTATCCTATATAATCTCAACCACAAATCTATAGCCACACAATATGACTATAGAGTAGTGAGTTAGGGGTTCTATATTTTTGTTCAACCATTAAGTCATACTTCTTTCGTTATTTAAAATTTTATCAAGTTCGATCACCACAGAGATTGATAAAGCAAAAATGTGGTTGAGATTTGTATAAAAGAAAACGAATTAATTGAAAACACAAATTATTTACTTAAAAGAGAAAATGAAAAAGTTAGTGAAACAACCAAAAAGTAATATTGGCAAAGTTTTAAACGACGGAGAGAATTTAAATATGACAGAATTGAAAGGATGAAAATTTATTTATGGAAATTGACTTAGTCATTAACCTGAAATATAATACTCTTTCCCATTAAAACGTTTAGTTAGACGTTTTTTATGTTGATTTTTTTAAAATCGATTATGAAATATGTTTATGTCAATAAATGGAGTTTCTTATTGCCTTTACATCTCAAGAGTAACACTAAAATGATTATTCTACTCAATTTAGACTATCTATTCGGCACACTTCATACACATGCAAATACCACGTATTCCATCTTAACCAAACGGACAAGGCTTAATAGAAAAAAAGTAAACAATCAATTAATTAGTATTATGTGATCTTCATTTATTTGAATTAGTAATCGGTTCTTCAAAATTCAATCCCAAATTATTAAAAAGTAAATTTGAGTCGATAAAGTTATAAATCAATTGGCTAGTTTTTAAGAATAATTGACTACTGATATCTTAAATTCGCTAGGTTCTCAATTGGATATAAGGGTGATTGGAATTGAAATGATACCATAGAAGAAAAAAAAGCATTCAAATGAAATTAAGACAATTTTTTGGACAAAGAAGCCTTCGAGATGCATCATGCATGGTCATTAATATTCAACTATGATGTAGGTCATGGCCTGAGTTTAATACTCCGAACATTTAACCGCAATTAAAAGGAAATTCAACACGTCAAAAAAAGAAATCAATAATGTACTTCGAAAATTCAACGTG